TCAAGACTCCGAGTCCAGACTCGGAAATGTCAATGCTGTGATTCATTCCATGTTCCTAGTTCGTTCTTTATTACATTTTACAGCTGATTTTCATAAGTTTTGGAGTGCTGACACGATTTTCGTTCAAAGCGTGAAACGAAATCTTCGGGGTCTTTCTCAACTCTCGTCAAATGTCTGCGACAGGCTCAAGTACCGTACAAGTGTCGCAGGGCTCATGAGCTTGCTCGCCCGCACATGGGGGGGTGGTTGCCACCCCCCCCAGGCAGTCTTTCTGCTCTGCACTCAACATTTTTAGAGCTAGAGAGCTGATTTTTCGTATAGCTGCTCGTCTATCCTTTCTTGATGTCCACTGAAAATTTCAAGTTTCTGTGATTTTTTGTTTCGGAGATATGACCTTGTTTTTCAGGTCATGTCATGACCCAAATGGCCAATTCTCAACATCTTGCGTTTGTCATGGGCCTTGTGAGCTTTTGACACCCTGATTTCGGCCTTTTTTGCCAGTCTTATCTCCCACCTATCATGGAACATGTTGTTCGACGATATACAGGGGTCAAGGTCAGGGTCAAGGTCAACCTAGGTCATCTAAGATAATTGCGTTTTAGGCAAGCTGAATTTACTTTTTGTGAAGTTTTTTGACTGCATTTTTGGTAAAAGCTTCTCAGATCATGATTTCATGTAATATGGACCCAAAAACAATCGGTGCACACATCAGTATACACACAGACACACACAGACATACAAACACATATAATTGACCTTGACCTAACTTGACCTGAAATGACCTCAGCAGCAAAATTCTGGTCGGATAGTGTGACAAAGAGGTTCTAGCTGGCTTGGCACCAGAAAACAGCATCGTCATCGGTATTTGATAAGCAGCGCACTTGATATCCAACGGTGACCCAAAACAGCAACATTTTTTAGTTTGACCTGACCTGGAAGGTCAATGACTGACCTGAGAAGGTAAAACTGGGTATCATTGGATTCGTCTCTTCCCAAAGAATCTTTTTGGTCTTTACTGCTAAGCTCTATCTCCAACAGGAACGAAATGGCGCGGGGGGTGGCAACCACCCCCCCCCCCCCATGTGCGTTCTAGGATGGGAAAATGGCATGTGCGGGCGAGGGTTAAACAAAGGCTGCTAAGGAGCTCCACTGATCCCTAACGAAGCTTTCAGAGGGCCCAAACCGGCCTCTGAAAGTCCCACTGATGTCCATGTTCTCTGAGGGCCCATGCAGGGATCTTTGAGCCTTCGAACATTTCTGAGAACCTTAACTGACCTCTGATAGTTCAGCCAAACTTTTGAGGCGACAGACTTTGCTAACCCCAAGCCGGCATCTGAGGGGTCACAGCTCACGTGTCCCTCTAAGGTCCGCAACACATGTTTATTATGTCCCTACGTAGGGTCCTTAGGGATTCGACACAGACCCCGAGGGTTCACACTGTTATCCGAGGGCTCCAGGCTCAACCTGGGCCTAGTCTCTTAGCGCCCGCCGCCCACACTGGCTTCTGAGGGCCCCACCTTGGGCTCGGAAAGCCCTAAAACACCATGTACACGTAAATATTTGAGGTGACCCATGCCGATCTCCGGGATCCTAAGCATGCTTCTGAGAGTCAGCACTGACCCTGAGTGGCCTGAAATGGCCTGGAAGTCCCAAACCTACCTTTAAGGAATCCCTTGCCGCTATGCCGTGCGTAACTTTTGGTTCCGTTTAACAGTTCTTGTTCGCGTTTGCAGCGCTTCCCCTCACACGAAAAACGAGAAACTTTTGTTCACACTCGAGTGAACAAAACACTTCCTCTCACTGGAGCAAAGATGAATTACTTCCGATTCACACTTCTGACATTCGCTCTCCGCCAAATGCCCAACTTTACTACGATCGGCGGCTGGGATAAGTCCTATGCATTTCACGTAAAACCTCTGCATGCATGCGTGAATGGAGGTTTTAGCAGGGTGATTCGATTAAATGGAGCGTTTTTCACCTTTTTCTGGGTTAATGATCATAGCGTCAAGTGCCTGCACAGGGGCCCTCTGCAGTGCGTCGGCAATCGCAGCCAGTATAATTCTACCAGTCGTTTTTGTCATGAAATCTTTAAATTTCGAATTTTTCTGTAAAAAATTTCATGTCATAGCTAGAAGGAAACCTTTGTCACCATCGGACTCTTCGCATCATTGCGCGTCGAATGATATGTAAAACGAGTGAGTAAAGACTGGGGAAAGGCAAGTTTTAACACAAAAGTTGATTTTGCCCCCCCAACCGAAAATCTCTGGCGACGCCTATGAGTTGGAACTGCATAATATATATGAGTAAAAGATTTTGTGAGTGAAAATCATAAGGACATGGTGCATACTACATACATGGATGAGCTGAGAACTTACCAGATCTAGGCAAATATATGTACGTTCTGATAAAAAGGCTTAGGCTGAAGGTTGCGCCAGATACCTACCATGAGTATACATAATATCTCGTGTTAGCAACGTAACACTATATGCCTAAGGCCTGAGCCATCCTGAACTCTACCGCTAATGAGCAACAGGATCAAGTTAGGTTACTTCGCAGCAGCAGTGACCTGGGTCATATTATAGAACCCCCGCCGGCACAGGGGGTTGATGCAACCCTCCTAAGGTTTTTCGCAAATAGCTCGTGTAAAAAGCGGCCGGTCGCAACGAAACTTGCAGTACCCTCCCGTTGATCCGTTTTACATTTACCCTGAAAATGTCATGACCCTGACCCAAGTGACCTTTGACCTGTGCCCCACTTTTGGAGACCATGTTTGGCCGGAATCGAGATTCGGCGTATGTCGGCTCGCATTAGCCGCGCGTTTGCAGTCTTTTCGTGGTTTCAAGCGCTCAAACATGTGATTTGATGTTGCTCCCATGCATTAGGGTGGGTGTCAAGGTCACCTGAAGGTCACGTTAGGTCACTGACCTTTGATGACCTCGGTTCACTTTTTTGAGTGTTACGTGTTTCTATGCTCGTTTTTGGAGCTGAAATCGAATTTAGCAATTCCATTTGAACATTTACATAGTATGTAGTTTTGGTGCCTTCGTAACATGTTATGAAGCTGTCAGAGGCGGCTGACACGTACTACGCGAATACCCGGCATGAGCCCTACCGGTTGACCTGACCTGACCTGACCCGACCTGGCTTAAATGCATAAGGACATCATCTGTGATCAATACTAACATGATATTCCTGATCAGCACCACGAAAAAACCCTTAGCAGCCATACTTAACGACGTTCTAACAGGTCCCGATTTTCCCGACTTCCGGGTGATTGAACTGACCTGGAAGGTCAACCGATGACTTAGAACCTTAAAATTATGTATCATCGGCTTCCTCTCGTCACGGGCAATACGCTCGTTTTTCCGCAAAGCTCTAGATCGATCAGGGGCCAAACGCGAGGAGGGGGGGGGGTCGTACCAATCATCCCCTTGTGCCGTCGAAGGACCGCCGCCTTTGTTTTAACCCTCGCATGTGTGCGGCGTTTGCCAGCTTCTAATGTGTAGGGGGGGGGGTCGGTTGGACCCCCCCTTGCCGTTTGGCCCCTGATCGAGCTAGAGCTTCGCGGAAAAAACGAGCGTGTTGCCCGTGACGAGAGGAAGCCGATGATACCCAATTTTAAGGTCCTAGGTCATTGGTTGACCTTCCAGGTCAGGTCAATGACCCAAAGTCGGGAAAATCGGGACCTGTTAGAAAGTCGTAAAGTGTGGCTGCTAAGGGGTTTTTCGGGGTGCTGATCACGAATATCGTGTTAGTTTTGATCACAGATGATGTCTTGAAGCATTTAGACCAGGTCGGGTGAGGTCAGGTCAGGTCAACCAGTAGGCGTCGTGACGGGTATTCGTAGTACGTGTCAACCGCCTCTGACAGCTTCGTAACATGTTACGAAGTCACCAAAACTTCTTCGTAAATGTTCAAATGGTTGCTAAATTCGAATTCAGCTCCAAAAACTAGCCTAGAAACATGTAAAACTCGAAAAAGTGTCCCGAGGTCACCCGAGGTCACCAAAGGTCAATGACCTGACCTGACCTTCAGGTGACCTTGACACACACGGGAGTAACATCAAATCACATGTTTGAACGTTTGAAACCACGAAAAGCTTGCAAACACGCGGCTAGTGCGAGCCGACATACGCGAAATCGCGATTCCGGCCAAACATGGTCTCGGAAAAGAGGTCACAGGTCAAAGGTCATTTGGGTCAGGGTCATGAAATTTTCAGGGTAGGTGTAAAATTGATCAATGCGAGGGTACTGAAAGTTTCGTCGCGATCGGCCGCTTTTTACGCGAGTTATTCGCGAAAAACCATGGGGGGGTCCATCCGACCCCCCCTAGACATGCGAGGGTTAACATCACGGACGGCACGTATAACACGTACTCATCTTACACACTTGATTTTATTTGTCCCAATCGCTCTGAAAGTTCCAAAACTCTCTGACCGGTCGATGAGTTTGTGAACTCACTGACGGGTCAGGGAGTTTGCAAACTCACGGATTTCTCAAACTCCCTGTAACATGTACGTTTATCTCTTTTCAGCTCCGTGTTTACTTTTTAAAGTCATTCACGTGATGAATCACAGTATGTAGTTGCAGGTCACGCCCCCGTTCATCACGCGTATAAACAGCTCTCCCTCTGGCCTCTGTCCTGGGAATGTGAGGTCACACGATCACAGCACTCGTTCAGCTGGATTTCTCAAGCCTGAGTCAGACCTCAAACTCCGGCCTCTGTGGAGGGGCATGGAACGGGGGGGGGGGGGGGGTCGCTTTCTCGGGCAATGAGAGGTGCGAGGCTAATAAACTAATCTGTTTTGACTATGAAAACCGATGTTTTTTATGTTGATACTTGCATTTCGATAAGTCATAGAACTGAGGATTTCATGGAGCAGCGGCGTTCCTATGGAGTGTCCACACACGAAAAAAAATCAGATCTGCTTCTATTACTGATAAATGTCACAAATATACATAAATACGAGTATCATATTCCTCACCTCCTCCTTGCTGCAGACTCGCGCTACAGCAAATCTACCGGGGTATCTGCAGTATGGAGACGAGTTACCGAATACCATCGTTTCTGGCATCTCTGAACTGCGGGGGTCCGATCGGCCGCTGACTCAGCGACACGGGTGTGAGGGACAGAGGGCAGTGCGCCGCCGTGGACGAGCCCAGCTCGGCGCGGCGACTGGGCGCCACAGTCACCGCAGTTGTGCCTCGTGGGGACGGAGGGACGCGGCGGAACAGCGCGCGACAGGCGAATAGGCGACAGGCGCGACTTTACAGCGGAACAGCGGGACGGCGCAGCGAGCAGGTCAGACAGATATTGTCAATGGAAATGTGTGCTCAGTTTTGCTCAATAAATTGGCTAGTTGAGACTGTTCGTTATATATTACGTAACATCTGATTACGTTACGCTGAAATAACTTGTTAATCTTCAATAGAAAATACAAATTGGCTTTGACCATTGACGTTGTTGTCATGCAGAATAGTTTGGCATACCTACCTATTCATTGTCTCTGCTCAATGTCCAGCTAATTTATTTATTTATTTATTTAACCCGCGCCCCAGTGGCGGTCTCAGCCAACTTCGCCCTAGTGAGGGGGGGGGGGGCATATTTTACCACCCACCTCTAACTCAAAAACTAAGAGGGCTAGAAAGACGCGGTAAAAAGCAGTCGATAGCTCTCAATGCGTACGTTTGAAAGTATTTCAGTCATTTTTCACCTTAGAGCAATATTGGGGTCACCAGAGGTCATCAAAGGTCAAAATTTGCCAATTGTCATTATATTTTTCAGAAAACATGCCGCTATCTCAGGAACTATGGTAGCTAGAAAAACGCATGGAACAACAAACGATAGCTTGTGAACTTTTCTTTTGAAAAGGTCATTATCAATATTGACCTCAGGTCAACGGTTTAGCCTCCAGAGGGCAAAAACTCCAAAAATAGCTGTTTTTACGAAAAGTGTTTTTCGACAATAACTTTCGACTACAAAAAGCCACGACATTTCTATTGCCAGAATCGTGTTCCTCTCGCCGAGACGCGTCGAATGAACTATAATTTGACCTTGAAAGGTCAACTTGAAAATTTGACCTCAGGTCAAGGTCATGACCTGACCGGAAAAGAAAAGGTCATGTTGCATATCACTCGATGCGTCTCAACAAGACAAACACAATGAGACCATCCCCAGCGTTCTATCTCGTTCCAATCGCGAGTTATTGGCAAAAAAAAAACTGTTTGTAGCCTCAAGTGACCTCGGATGACCTGTCTAGAGGCTATCAGCAAATTTGACACCTTGGTCATCACGAGTGAACTAAATCATTGTGAGTCTGAAATATTTGGACTTTTCCGATGCGTACACACGGATCTAGAGGCATTTTCATTTTTCTCTATTGACTTGTAATGGTAAGGTCACGCCACTGACCTGACCTTAGGTCACGGATATAAAAAATCCGAGATATACAAATTGTAGGCGCCCATAACAGCATGCAATCCAACAAGTTTAAAACCTTTCTGACAAACACTGCAGGCTGGACATGATTGCAAACTTTTTTTTAGGTTTGGTCAGTTAACTTGACCTTGTGACCTGACCTGACATGACCTGGGGTCAAAAATTTCACACATTGTCCAAAATTGATGTACCAAAAGCTACCCCAAGCGGCGCGGCGCTACGCGCCGCGGTTTTTTATTCACACGCAAACAACGCGACAGGGTGGTAACATATGCCCCCCCCCCCCCACTGGGGCGAAGGTTAAACATACAACGACATCCACTCAAAGAGGGCTTTTCAGTCGAGGCACAGTTCCTAGACAAGATACAGTAAAATAAGAGTATTCACACTCAGGTCATAAACCACACTCAATTAGGTACACACGTAAGCCTGCCAGATCACAACATGCGGACCGATCACCTTGCATCTGCCTGAATCGATATACGTGCGTTTCTGCGCACCGTTCGCCTGGATGTACTGGACAAGCCCTTCGAGATTATAAATCTGTTATACTTTTGAGCTGCACGGTACATGAATTGCCTCTTTCCATAGTTAGTTTTAACGCGCGGTAAGCTAAGTTGAGTTGACTGTCTGGTGTCGCGGGCAGCTCTCTCGCGGTTAAACACCAGTGATGATCGGATCATGTGAGGTCTGCCGGTTCTGATAATGTCATGGATCAAACAGATATCTGAATAAATAACTAACTGGTGGGCGGATAGCCAGCCTAATTCGCTTAAAACGCTACTAATATGATCATATTTTCTACGGCCTGAAATCACCCTTGCAGCGAAGTTAAATATTTTTTGGATTTTGGACACATTTGACTGATTTGCGCTGCCATACACTTGTGCACAGTACCTTACATGAGAGAAAACGAGGGCGTCGATTATTTTCGGAAGCAATGCTTGAGGTAGGGCATATTTAACATTAAGTATACCGATAAGGATGCCGATGCACTTTTTAACAATTCGATCGATGTGACAATTGTAAGACAGTGACGGGTCCATAACAACTCCTAGGTTTTTCACTGTTTGTGAACATCTCAGCGTTTCGCCCATAAACTCTATTGATGGAGACTCAGGAGAGTCAACCTGCCGAAGCTGTCGACTGTCTCCACACAGAATTATCTCGGTTTTGCCTGCGTTCACCTTCATACCATGTTGCATAAACCATGTACAAGCGATATCAAGCACTGTTTCAAGTGAAGCCCGCATCTCAGACAGTTTGTTGCGAGGTCCTGTGATAGCTATCTGGGCATCGTCAGCGTATCGAACTAAAGTGACACAAAAGCCATTCATGTGCGTTGGGATAAAACATGAGAAATCGTTGCTGAAAATATTGAACAGAAGCGGTCCCAAGCATGATCCCTGGAACGTTCCAATGGATTCCAGCTTCATCTCGATTGCATTGCAGATCGGGAGCAAACAAGTGAATTGTAAGGAGGCTGCATTTTAATAGCTACGCCATTTATGCCTTACATTTGCTTTGTGCCTTGTACCTTTCTATGGGTCACTCTCATTACAGGATTCGCTAGCTTTATCTGTCCATCCATACAGTATCCACTCTCCTCCACTAGCGTTTCGGTGTGAGTAGCATCGGCTGTGTCTCTCCATGTTTCAGCCATGTTGCCGGCGGCCCTGCTTGGACTGCTGGTGGCCGCCTCAGACAGTCGTCATGTCCGGCCGCACGGCAGGCTCACCAACGACATTGAGTGGCAGCACGCAGTGACCGGCCTGCAGCAGCTCCGGCAGCATCGGCAGCGGCCTGGGCCCGTCAGTGGGTCCGCCGTGAGTACCCGACATCCCTCCGGGCCCCTGTATCCTGCACCACCGCGCTCCTATCCAGGACGTAAGTCACACGCAAGTGGCGCACCATCTCAAGTAACGGCAGGTGGAATAGGCAAGTGTTCAGTTGCGCATTGCAAATTGCAGGCAGGTGGGTAGTAAATCATGATATAAGGAATAGTTCTGCATTAATGAGTAGTTTTTATACCGGTGCATTAAAAGCTGTGTGTGCCGCCCGCTAGTGGAACAACCACCGTGAGGTTACCGAGGCACGCTTGCTTTCATCGTGCACTTGTACCTTCTCTTGATCTTATGTTCAGCCGTTTTTGCTCCCCACAGGCAGCAAATACGGTATGTGAGTCGGGCACTTACCCTCCTCCTCCGGAGCGGGCCGTACCCCACTACATCATCAACCTGGACCTGCCACCGGAGTACCGCTACTGCAAGGTCATGGAGGACCTTGGACCGGCGGTACGTATCGCAGCGTGGTCTGATGCGTCTCGCGTCGTGGTAAGCCCTTGTTACACTGCCGAATTTTGGTACACGAATGTGCACGAATATGCAAGTCATCCTATGTCGCGGACCGATTCGGGATCTTTCTTCCACGGTCTTGGCATTTCGCAGACCAGTCGGTGTCCACCGCGCGACTTTTACGGTTCGTCACGACCGCCACGAATATTTCATGAAAAATGAAAATTTCGTGGCCGTTCGCCGAATTTATAAAAAACGAACATGATCGTCAAACAGTCGCCGAGTCGCCGCCGACATGTCGCTGCGTGCGCCGACTTGTTGCCAAGGTATCGCCGACTATTCGCAACAGATTCGCCATTCATTCGCGATGTTCGCCGAATCATGGATCAGCTTCGACCCGCGCACGATCAGGGGGCCCCCTACCCGTTTTCTGAAAATCGGGCTCTGTCGGCGAACTGTTCGTCTCTGTCGGTGAACTGTTCGCCGATTTCCTACACGACATGATTCGGCGACAGGGTCGTGGCCAAAATTCGGCAGTGTAACACGGCCTGTAGGTATAGCCGCCCGGCGTCGCTAGCAGGAACAAAAACACACACGGCCTTCGCTCTGAGAGACGCTGTCACGCTGACATCAGCAAGAATCTCGTAACCTAAACTTGCGAGTTCGTAACAACAACGCTGAGAACGCATTCAGCTTTGTAGCTTCAATTTATCCAACTGAGTTAATCGTGTCTAAAGACATCCTCGATGTTCATGCGCAGTGTGACGTCGTACCTACTTTACGCCACATGCTGTAGCGTAAGGTACGACGCCACACTATGACATCACGTGCGCCTACTCAAACAGTGGTACACTCGAGGGCAGATTGATGTTCCACAACTCTTTATCCACCGGGTTCCTATGGCTCAGCATTGGCAGCAGCCGCCTGGTACCGGTAGACTGTGCCGCTTCACTTACTTGTCAAGCGGCACAGCCTACCCACACCGTATGCCACCGGTCTGGGTCGGTGACTGGAAGGCGATGTGGGCCGCCTGTGACGTCAGCGCGGCGGTGAGGGCCGAGCCCGGAGGCATGGCTAGGGTCGGCGCGGCGCGGCGGCTGGCGAGGGCTGGGGAGTGAGGTGGGGTGGGAGCACGGACCATCGCGCGGCTGAGCGAGTTTAGTTAACTTTCGCGTCTCAAGGCGCCAATTATTCTACCTAACAATTGTGCTAAAGCAGTTGTTAAAATGTCCTATCCCCAAGACAGTGCCTATCATCATACTTGCCATGCACATTACGACACACTTAAACGTGGCATTGGGACAGCCGATAGAATTTATATCACACGTGCATCGAGTTGCGGAGCTACATTGTTTTTAACAGATAAGTATTAAGGCCTTGATTGAGCTCATTGGTGTCTATTATTTCGCACAGCAATCGTCCAGAGACGTGAGAACTGGGGTTTTTGGATAGCGCGGCGTCCCAACTTTAAGCAACTCTTACTCTTATGTGTGGTCGCAGCTACCAATAGCAAACCGTCCCATCTAGGAACAAATAAGTCGCGCACCCGTGACGGTTCGAACCGGGTTTCTCCAACCGGTCACCCTACGACGCTAGCGTGTATTCACTGAGCTGCCGAAACCAGCGATCACTCACCGCGGTCAAACGCGATCAAATGTCACAATACTGTCATTGGCGGTCAGCGGGTGAATGTCATTTTTGTTTTGTGCAGACGAGGACCATTCTCGGTAGCTCAGTGGATGAACGCTCGTGTCGTGAATTGGCCGGTGGGAAAAGCCCGGTTCGAACCCCCCTGAGTGGCCGATTTTTTGGCTCCTAGTTGGAACGGTTTGCTATTGGGGGCTGCGACCACATATTAGAGCAACAGTAATAATCACTTTAAATTGGGGCGTTGGCTGCGGCACTGCTCATAACCCCCAGTTCCCACGTCTCTGGACGATTGCCGTGCGAAACAATAGACACCAATCTGCTCAATCAAGGCCTTAATACTAATACGTTATACAAAATATAGCTCCGCACCTCGATGCACGAGTGACATAAGTTCTATCGGCTATCCCATTGCCACGCTTAAGTGTGTCGTAATGTGCATTGCAAGCATGATTATAGGCGCTGTCTTGGGGATAGGACATTTGAACAACTGCTTTAGCACAATTGTTAGGTAGAATAATTGGCGCCTTGAGACGCGAAAGTTAACTACATACACTCGCTCAGCCGCGCGATGTCCGTGCTCCCACCCCACCTCACTCCCCAGCCCTCGCCAGCCGCCGCGCCGCGCCGACCCGAGCCATGCCTCCGGGCTCGGCACTCACCGCTGCGCTGACGTCACAGGCGGCCCACATCACCTTCCAGCCACCGACCCAGACCGGTGTCATACGGTGTGGGTAGGCTGTGCCGCTTGACAAGTAAGTGAAGCGGCACAGTCTACCGGTACCAGGCGGCTGCTGCCAATGCTGAGCCATAGGAACCCGGTGGATAAAGAGTTGTGGAACATCAATCTGCCCCCGAGTGTACATAAGTACCACGATATATCGCTAGTGACGTTCCGGGCATAACATCATAGCCGCTGCCTTCTACAGCCTCCCGTATAGGGGAGACCCGGGAGGTATGGGCCCCCTGGAAGTATGGGCCATCGCAGTTTTGAAGAAGTGTTGCGTATTTTTACACATGTGACCGCGTAAACTGGTAGCAGCCATTCTGTTATAACAATCCACGTGATTTTCAAAATCTTCCTCGGTCTTTTTTGACAATGAGCGATAATAAAGTGTTGCGGTAATAAAGTGTTGCCCTCTTCGAGTAAAATACGGTACATACAGAAAATTCGTGATAAATTTGAGCCAGGCTCGTTTTATTATGTTAGACCATCGCTAACATAAAGTTTAAAGCATGCAAATTAGGACTGGATAGACAATTTGAAGCTTTCTTGCAAGATAATGAGCTGAGATGTTACGCACATTATGGCGTCCTAGCCGGGAGGTTCGGGCCACCGACCCCCGTTGATCCTAAATCAATGAAATCATGCTTTCATTAAATGTCCTCTTAAATAAGTTTCATTTTTGTCGCGCAAGGTCGAAAATTTAACTACAAATTTCATTCGAACGGAAAAAAATATTATTTAGCTTATTTCGTGGAGCATGATTGAATTTACCAAAATACATATGTGCCTAAGTAACCTCCATGAAGTAAGCTGTTGCCGCTTATGCGGTTCCTGGGCTCTAAAGAGATCAAGGTAGATACCAGCCACGAGTATTGTTCTCATTGTCGAGAAAATAATATGAAACATGTCACCGGCCCATACCTCCCGGGCCATGGCCCATACCTCCCGGTGTATTTTGGTGGATCGAAAAAGTGCATGATTTATTGAAAGTTATCTTAAGACAAAATAGTCGGTCCCAAATGCCTAATACTAGGCACACTTTGCAGGCGAAAGGCAATTTCACGTGCACAGAGTGAAAAACCGGGTCTAGCCACTGCCCACTGGAAGAAAATTGCCTTTTCACAAAACCGGTCCATACCTCCCGGGTCTCCCCTAAATGCCGTCACCCTTGGTAGGTCAAAATGATCACCCGGATCAAATGATACTTACACCGCCAGGCGAGTCATCTGCTAAGCATCGTGCGCTCCGAGGTGGCACCCATTATCGGGGAGAACACGTTCAAGGCGGTGGAGAAGCTGTCGGAGATCATCGGCCGCAAGCTGCCCTACCCGTTCCCTGACGAGATACGAGGGATCGCCACCGCCGCCAGCATGGAAGAAGGTGGGAGCTGGGGAGGCCGGGAAGAGTTTGTCAGGGTGAGCAGCTCGGGGACGGGTCTGTTTGACAGGGCAGGCAGAGGCAGCTCGGGACAGGGGTCTGTCTAAAAGACAGAGTAGCTCGGGACGGGGTCTGTCAACAGAACAAGCAGCTCGGAACAAGCCTGTGTCTCCTGGGTCTGACCTGTGTCACCGCTCTGTTGCCGCAGGCGATGTGGCGCTGATGAACATCTTTTACGAGGTGTTCACCGTGTGCACTTCCATAATTGGCCGCGCCGCCGACGGCACCCTCTACCACGGACGAAACCTCGACTTTGGACTCTTCATGGGGTGAGTGGTGGCCCACACAGTGACCACCTGCGCCGTATCGCCCTTCATGGGAGGGATGGGAAGGGTTATGCCACGGCCAGAGTCTCGGCTCTTCCAAGTAAACAAGGTATACGTGACTAACCTCACGGCTAACGTGAGGTTAGCCGTGAGGTTCACACGGCTCACACGGTCTGGTGTGAGCCGTGTGAACCTCACGGCTCACACCAACTAAAAGTTGAGCATGAGTCGTGTTATTCACAGAGGGCCTCAGTATTTTATCCCGCTTTATTTGTTAAACTCTCCAGCTGCAGCAAGTTTTTAGTCTGACATTGTCGCTATATGTTCGTGTGCCCGATTGCTCCGGATGGCCGCAGGCAGCCGGGCTTCACCGTCGGACTGTGGTAGGGGCCGCCGTGTTTGTGTGTGTGTGTCCGAACCGTGATCCGGTGACCGGCAGAGCGGCAGGAAGCGCCGGCCGGACGGCTCTGTGATAGGTCACATCCGATCCTGCCGTTGTGGACGCCGGGAAACAGACGAGTCGTGCCTCTAAACTGCATCACTGTATGTCACTTACCACTTCATTACTACAGAATATACAATCCTCACCCATGATAGCATATGACGCTCAGCGCCACATGCTAAGGTGGACTTAAGCACCATGGACGCTGTCAGAATCTTAAAACGACCACACACCGACCGACTATAACTCGATCGCAGCATAACATCCCAATGTCCAGTGCTCGGCCGGATATCCATTCTGTTCGGAAAACGGACGGATATGTATTATAATGTCATCCTCAGTCATGTCAACTGACCGTCTGTCAACTGACCGACCTCGGTCTGTGTCTCACCCGGTTCCAGCTGGGACATGCAGAACCACACGTGGAAGGTGGCGGAGGCACTGCGGCCGCTGACCGTCACCTTCGAGTACCAGCGCGACAACCGCACCCTGTTCCGAACGGCGGGCTTTGCCGGCATGGTGGGCGTGCTCACTGGAGTACGACCGGTACGTTCGCTGGGCACGGCACGGCACGGCGTAGCCTGACAGTGCAGCGCTCAGAGCCGGCAGTGTGCTGTGTCAATCTTACCTGATGTTGTTTATGTAGGCAGACTGCAGGCGTGTGATATCTCAGGACATTTGGACGTTGGAGGCCACAAATATCGCCATGTTTATGCGGATCTTTTACATTTTCAGCATATCTGCGCGTTCAGTGACGCTGCCTCTTTCCGTAACTGACAGGCTAGGAGACTCAACAATTATAATTAAACAAGAGCGAAGCAATTACGTTCGACTTCGAATGACAGAAGCGCCATGCGGTTCGCTGGCGAGTATAGGACAGTCAGTAGTGACTGCTGGATAGACTGTACCGCCATACACCGGTGTATTACGGCACACGCTTGACTAGCGCGTCCGTCCGCTCCGGTCTGAGCCCTGAGGTCTCCTATCCCTGTTCGACAGGGCCTGTTCTCGCTGTCGATCGACGAGCGATTCACCCTGAAGCCTGGCCTCTGGTACATGCTTGAGTGGGCCTTCGGAGGAGCAAACGTGCAGTGGAACACGGTCATCACACGACAGGTGGGTCACGGTTATCAGGTCACACACAGATGGGTCACGGTTATCCGATATCACACGTGCGATGGGACAGCACGATATCGTTATCACAAGGCACGGCCATTACACGATAGTGGAGGCATTCTGGATACAAACATCAATGAATAAACACGACGGATTTAATTAAAACTTATGACAAACTGAAATGCTTATTATTGTTCACATGGATTGATATCCGTTCCACTTGTTTTATCACAATAATGATTAAACACGGAGAAATTGACGCTTATTTATCGATATCAAGTCACCAATTGCCACGTATAATTCAGCCCGCAATTAATCATTTTAACACAGAAAGTTCCGCTGCGCTAGAAAAAGATGTCGGTTTGCTAACGTAGCATCCCAGATCGAGGATTCCACCTCGATCCATACTATCTGACAACTGACACAATCGCTCCCCCACTCCACCGCCCTTTGACCTGTGACCTGTGCCATTCCATCCACCGCCGACAGGTCCTGGAGAATGGTACCGACTACACAGCGGTCCAGAAGCAGCTGGCCAAAACGCCGCTGATGGCTCCCGTCTACTTCATCCTGGGAGGCAATGGCTCCTCTGAGGTCAGTTGAAGTCGGTAGAGCTACTCAGAGGTCAGTAGATGTCTGTGGAAGTATCTATAGTGTCGATTGGTTCTGTAACATCTGATGTAAACCGTAAATTCATGTTTTAAGAACAGCAGTTGCAATCCACGTTGAGGCTGCGTTTGTTCAGACAAGCAGTAGAATAGTGTTACTGCACAATCCGTTTCAATTATTTTATTTATTTTGTGCTCAATAAAATGTCGATCACTATGCCCGACCGGGAGAGCGGCAGTCCCCAATCCCGGTTGTGCGCCTGAAGTCCGTTTGAAGTATACCCTAAGCATGCCGTCTATTTGCTGTATGACCTGTTTGACCGTCGGTTTGCCATGCACCTACAATTAATCTGTCGGCGTTTTCAGGCCTGTGTAATCACCCGGGACCAGTACAAGGCGGACATCTGGCCCCTGGGCACCCCCTCGGTCAGCCAGAAATCCACCTGGTCAGTCTCCGCGGCAGCGGGTGCGAACTGTGAAAACACTGATATATTTCATCGGCGGGCACCGGTTCTGCCTCGGTGTTTGAAATCAGTCGCATTTCTTATAGGCAGTACCATAGATAACATGATTCATGTTATCTGTCACGACTGTCAGTACAGATACCATTTGCTAAAATAATCAGTGCAAAGCGTTTTCCCCGGTCACCGTTCGTCTTTTAGGGATACCAGCGCGATGGTGACCCCAAACTCTGAACGCGTGCCCTTGACCCGCCGCCTGCAGGTACCTTCTGCAGACCAACTATGACCACTGGAAGCGTCCGCCGTTCTTTGACAATCGGCGCGATCCCGGCGTGCGCTGCATGGACCGCCTGGGGGCTGACAAACTCACACCGGAAACTCTCTACGACGTGCTCAACTCCAAACCCGTCCGAAATCGGGTACGTATCGAATGGTCCTCGAACAGACATTGCTTGGATAGCGTGCTTGCTGTTAGAAGTCCTTTGAAATAAGCAAATAATCCATGTTAGCAGCTCAGGCAAGCTGTGTGAACATTCCATTGCGGGCATTCGCTCTGCGTCCTGAAAAGCGCAACCAACAATCAACATATCGCGGCCCTGGTGGCGCAGTCGGTTAAGGCGTCGACCCGCGGTGCGGGCGGTGCCGGATTCGGGTTCGACTCCCGGTTCCGCCCGTTCCGCGGGCGTCGTCCCCGGCTGTGTCACCAGGTGTGGGGTGTGCTCCCACTTCAGCCGTAGCCTGGGGGGTGGGGTACAGTGGCCGGGAGGAGATGGAGCCCTCCTATAATTGGGACAATACAAGAGCCCGGTGGAGGGAGGCCTGAATAAAAAAAAACATACATTTCAGCAAGGTAAAATCCTTGAATCGAGCGCAATGCCGCATCTCTGGCTCCCGTCTACCCGATCTCTCACTGTGACACTGCTCTGTGTTTCGGCCTCAGCTGAGCGTCTACACAGCTCTGATGCAGGCCAACCAGGGTCACATGGAGGCCTGGCTGCAGTACTGCACGGACCCCGACTGCGCCATCTGGTGATTGATCGCAGCTGCCACCTGGCGTTAGAGGGCAGAACTACACCAGATCAGGCTGGCGAAGCCTCGACGCAAGCTCGTCGATGGTGGACGGTAGCACGACGGTAGCACGTATGTAAGTACAACATACACCAGCTACGTGAGCGGAATCGCGACAGTGGGCCTCTGTTTGAGTGCCAGTTTCCGTGGATAGCGGATCTAACTCAGCGAAGCATTATTCCCGAGCGAGGACGGACAGACAAGCACGACCGAGCTGGGGAGCCTTGTGATCGGCGCATTGTGATTGCTCGGTTTTCCACAAAGCGAGGCTGGATTGTCATGAGCTTTGAGCCATTGATATAACAATAGTGTTGTATCGCTCGTCCCTGGCGGAGAGTTCACGGTAAATGGTTCTTATGTGACATTTACATACGTATATTCGTCAGTGTACGCTTTGTGTAACTGCATGTTTTCGAACAATATATTATCAAGAGCGAAAGCTTGCGCAATGCCTACTGCCAGAACGAGTGAAGCCATTGCCTTGATTCCACCTCTCTCTGGCAATGGTCCAGGGAGCTACAGCCGGCACAACAGACTCCACCGCTACGCACGCGTCACCGACGCGGGGCTCCTCTGCTAAAACGACATGTTTGGGGCTCCTCTGCTAAAACGACACGCTTGGTGCTCCTCAGGCTCAGCTAAAAAGACACACTGCTGCCCGATAAAACCAGTGTATTTTCCCCTCAGCGCGCTCTCCCCTCAGATCCTCTGACAAAAGTCTCACTCGCAGGGCGGTACTGGGTGGCCTGCGCTCCGCCGCTCCCGATGGCGTTCATACTACCGTAATGCTAACGGTGAAAATATCCTTCGAAATACTAGCCACACTACGGGACTGCCTTCTGGTATGCTGACCCAACCGAGACTTACCAACAATCGAAACAACGCTGCTAGCAAGCGATCAGACAATTCAGATAATCCCACGCGCCCGCCTCTCTACGCCTTCTGTAATATCAGCTCCAGAAAATAACTGCTCAAAGCGTCTCGCACACTTCGGCAGCTGGATGCGATCGGCTTATAAAATTAGTCAGTGCGCCGCTCGTGATATTGTGCCTCGCGCGGTGGCCGTACATGCGACCAGGCCGTGCGGTCTGCACGGGCCGCTCCACCTCGCGTCGCTGGCAGATGCTGACTATCACAGACTGTTCCCAATAGACGCCGGCCCGGAACGGACGGACACTGCTACCCGCGCCGGGCAGGAATACACGATATTCGGCGGTCGTCTATCGAAGCCCATAATGGAAGTCTACTCTTCGCGGCTATAGGTCAGGATGGTTAGGTGTGGTATTATGAGCACAGGGAAAGCTGAAGCTGAAGGCTGCCGCGGTAGGTAACTGAAGCATGAGACTACTGAGGTAACAAGGGACTACAAGGGGCGCCCCATACGCGGCGCGGGTGTGAGTATAACGGAGTTCAGTCTGCCAGCACAGGCGGGGCACATCTATAGGCCGAAGACACTCTAGAGTCGCAGGCCGGGCACCGCGGCGCCGCCCGCTCGTAACGGTAGGCAAGTCTAAGGTTAGGAGAGAGAACTACCAGTGCACATCAGTTAGAGTTCACACATCCCAGAAATTCAGGTCACCCACCGGAGTCGGGTCTCTCGCCGGGTCTCCAGAGTCTCCCTCCCGGGACCACCCCGGTCCCACTGGACCAATCCGGTCCCCTTTAGACCAGTGGGGACAGCCGTGGAGGTCTCAGACCCGTCCTCTGCCGGTGGCCGGTACCTACAGACCGCGGTGCTTGCGTTTGACGCGGGCGTAAGGCCCGATCTCCGGGTCGGTGACAAAGTCGTACAGTACACGCACCCACGAGTTGTGCTGTGGAAGGTTATCGTAGTACTCGGGCGCGATCTTGCGTACCTGAAGACACACAGTAGGGGGGGGGGGGGGCAGGGGTCAGCCAGATCGTTCGGGATACAGGGTCAGTAATTTTACACCAACAAAATCTTCAGTGTGAAGGGCCTAATGCGTTGATGGTCGAAGATAACTACTAACCTTTTCTTTTGACGTGTACGAATTACGTTTTACATTTTCCCGTGTAAAACTTTCAGTAAACACCACAAACCGCCATAATCGGCGCAATAGCTAACCTATCAGCATTCAACAATGTCATCATAATCCCAGGCTTTGTTGATCCTGGGCTCAGCCTGCCCCGGCCTGCACCGCGGTAAAACCCAGCCGAGTGATTGGACAGTTAAGTCATGGCCAGGTGCAGGTCGAGGAAACCCCAGAGCCGGTGATAAGTCAACAGCTGCAGGAGCGATGACGACTGATATCCGGCCACCCCACCTGCAGGGCGGCTCCTATCGGAGCTATACTGAGCAGTGTGCAGTGTACACTGTACAAAGAACTGTATACATTGTGTCCCTCCCCGTGTCCGGTGTGTCAATTTGTTCCACTCCTCCCCTCTTACAGTTCCCCGGCTCCAGCGGCGGACCTACCTCTGTGTGATGGTAGCTACCCCCGTCGGTGTACAGGTCTCGCGGGTTTTAGCGGTAGGTTTTGCCCCAATGAAATTTAGCAAATTTCCGGCTATATCTGCTTCGGCTTAAACTTTTAAGGGTTGAAGACGTGATCGATTTATTCGTACACCATGATCCTCTAAAATGGCTTCATCGTATAGCGGTTAGTTTCTGAGATATAGCCGGAAATGTAAAAAGACAAAACCTACCGCTTAAGCCCGCGAGGGCCGTGCCTATTTGAAGAGAGCCCTCCCCTCTCCCGTCCCCGGCGCAGTACCTACCTCGGGCAGCCGGCAGCCGGGTATCGCCGGAAAGTCGTGGTGCTCGTTGTGGTAGCCCACGTTGAAGGTGATGGCGTTCAACGGACCGTAGTAGCTGTACGTCTCGTAGCCCTTCTTGAACATGTAGTGTTCCGAGATGAAGTGCCCGGCCACCGGGTGCAGGCCCATAGCCATCAGCGAGCCTCCCAGCATGTAGAACACGGCCCGGGCGCCTGGAACGGGCGAGGGCGGGGCTCAGCGACCGGCGGCGGGTGGGCGGGCAGACCGGCGGCGGGGGACTGGTCGGGCAGCCTCTGGAGCGGGCCACAAACACCGCTCGTAAGACAGAGAGCGGTGACGTCACCACCGACCTATTCAGACTCAACTGCAGCCGATATCTTTTTTAGCTCGTCAGACAAGCCCGACCCCAGCTATCTCCCCCACTCATCCTAAGCCATCCAAAACTTCAACTCCTTCCCCACCGATCTCGCTTTATCCCACAATGATTTATCTGCTCTCCTCAAGTATCCCATCCCAACCTTCGTCATTCATCCCGACCCTCCCTCGGCCACCCTGAATCTTCTCCCGCTCTTCTCTCTTCCCCAACCAACCCCATGAATGTCCCAATACCCTATTATCCCACCATGCTACCTCCCCACCTTCCCCCCCCCCATCCCTATACCAGTCCTCCCCAGCCGCGCCGCACCCACAGCTCACCAAGATAGTACCCGACGGCCACATTGAAGCTCATCTGCACCGTGGTGTTAACGAGCTCGAGCGCCGTGGGCGGCTTCGGGTAGGTGATGACGGGCCTCAGCGCGTAGAAGAGCGGCTGCAGCAACACCCAGACGAACTTGCCGAAGGTGGTGCAGAAGAGACGCGCCTCCAGCGCCGTCGGCAGGTCCGTGTCAAGCCGCTCGTCACCCTGGTACTGTGGGGGGGGGGGGGGTCGTTACTCGTTAACACTGTGGGGAGGGGTGTGATGTCAGTACTGTGGGGAGGGGTGTTGTCAGCATGACTGTGGGGAGGGGTGTCGTTAGCACTGCGGGGGGTGGGGGGGGAGTGACACCAAGGGTGGGGGGGGAGTGACACCAAGGCAGGTAGAGGAGGGGGTGAAAAGGGGCGAGCCTCAGTTTTGTATTGGCATAGAGCCTGGAGGTAGACTACGTCAGATAATTCTGAAACAAAACACGACAGATGGTGATGTTTGAATGTTGATTCATCGACTTCGCTTGAAATTGTAGGAGATAATAAAGCGACAATATATGAAGGTGGCAATTGGATTACGGTTGTGGCTACTTATTGGGTAGTAGGGATTCCACAGGAACTTTGAACCGGATGTGAATCATGAGACGGAATCGGTCGGGGCTGGCCTGTGAATCAGATGATAGCAACCAGCGCCCTCGGCATAAAGTTAGCGAAAACAGAGGCTGCGGTTTATAGCAGAGCGAACAAACAACTACGTCCGTATCAAACTGAGCGGCACTGGCGCAAACACGGCGACGCAACATTGTGTGAGGCCTCTGTGCTGCCTGCGAATTGCCTCTCCAGATAACACTCGAAAGCTCCGATAGGTCAGCGTCACCTAACGAAACACATTGAAGCAAAAGCTCGGCCGGCTTCATGCCGTGCTACCGGTCACGTGACTGCAGCCGAGTGGAATATTACACCGGCCACAAAGTCACGTGACACCGCCGGGTAACGCAGTTGATAGTAACGCTAGCTCACGTGTCCGATGAGATCCTCGACAACTCGACGAGAAATGAATGAGTAGCCCGTACTCCATCTTGGCTGAAGCCACGGGAGAAATGGCATGATGCTTATTATATGGTATGTTTATTATTCAGAGCAGAGCCGATTCAAGAGACGTCCACTTAACTTTGTACATTCGTGAGCTTTAGCTTGTCTATCGTGGGGACTGTGGCAGCAGCAGACCAGTGGTTACAGACAACTCAAACTGTGACCCTCACGGAGGTCACCCCACCCCCTCCCCTCACCAGCCCCCCGTCCGACCCCGACTGTCGTTCGATCGGTGACCTTTGGTCGGGACTCGGCCCAGATGGCCGCACGTGACGACACGCCACACGCGCTGTGACGTATTTATTGGACGTCATTGACGGGAATGGCAATGCGGGGAGTGGGCACCATGGCAACCGCAAGATAACGAAATCCGGGGCCGGGACGATTCAGTCATCGTGGCGGTTTCTAGTTCCCTTCGCAAAGGTAACGTCACAGGGCTGCTACTTTGGAGTATGATAGATTAAATACGTGTATCAATTCATGAATCATTGATAGGCTGCAACAATGAAATCCTACTGAGTGAACTTAACCCTTCTCAGCAGACTGAGCCTGTTGAGTCCCTCCCATCTCACAGAACTGACTCTATGGTACCCCGTACCCCCCGGCACTCACTCTGTGTGTACCCGTGGCCCGTACCCCTCCCCCGGCACTCACCCTGTGGTACCCCGTATCTTTCCCTCCCCCTATACTGACCCTGACCCCCCTCTGACATGCACCCCCACAGTACTCACCTCTTGTGCCCCATGCGTACCCCTCGGCACTCACCCTATGGTACCCCGTACTCCCCCGTTATTTACCCGTGGTAACCCGTACTCTCTGTTAGGCCTGCACTACCCCCTCGGCTGACGGCACTCACCCTATGATGCTCCAGGTGGTAGGCTTTAAACGCCACGGAGAACGGTATGCCGATGGGCAGATTGGCGAATATGCCCAGCAGCCGGTTAGCCAGCGGCCGGCTGTGTCCGAACGCCAGGTTATGCGCCAGCTCGTGAATTGCTGCCGGGGGAGAGGGGGTGTTACGAGGTGTCAAAGCGGGTCAAGAGTGTGTCAGAGCGCGTCAAGAGTGTGTCAGAGCGTATCAGTCAGTGTCAGAGTGAGAGTAAGAATGTGTCCAGGGCCTCGTTTCATAAAGCGAGTCCGTAACTTACGCCGGTTTTTGGGCTTGTATTGCAAGCGCATGTGAAGCGATACATTTATTTCCCCTTCTCCCTTCTGTTCTTGCTAGCAAGATAAATAAATTCAACGATTCAAACTAACGGCATCGCTTCAGATGCACTTGCAAATTGCAATACAAGACCAAAAACCGCCGTAAACTAGGTACGGACTCGCTTTATGAAACGAGGCCCAGGAATGTTACATAAGTGGACGTAGAGGAGCAAGCAGCGAGTAGGGAGGGTACGACCGGAGCAAAATTTTGGTTATGGTTTATTTGTAATTGTAAGAATTACAAAGGACATGCTGGAAGGACAGTCATGCCTGACAATGACGGTAAGCTCAGCATTGGAGCTTTAGTAACATGCCTGTGGCTCTAATTCGCGGGCTAACAAGTGTGTTACTGTTAGCGGTTTTTCGGTATTCCGAATTACAGCACGCGGCACCTGTTACCGAAGGAGGGGTCAATGCTGTAAGCAGTAAGCACATATGCTATACCTAGCGTAAGCGTGCTCGCTAAACAATTCGGCTGTTGACAGCTGCATACATATGACTCGATATCATCCACACACCACCAATAGGATCACCGAGGGACTGGGACACACAGTTGAGATTGATATTTTTAACATGAATGTCATCTTAAACACGAATATATTGACGTCTTTATGCCACTATTTCGCACCAAACATAGTGCATTCACATTAACAGCCATGCCCCACATAACGATCCATTTCGCAAGCAGACCATATCCGCCTTGGCACACGTCATTATTACATAAGTTTGTTTCGAGACGTCACGTCGCTCGCGGCAGTTTATGTACAGTAGGTCTATTAAAAAAGTCCCCAGCACCAGTGGGCGCTGCCTTCGCTGAGCCGAACCCCCGTCTGCCCGTCCCATATCGCGCCGGGCTCAGGTCAGGTAGGGTCAGCGGGACCGCTCGGTCCGGCCCGCGGGCGGTGGACGGGCGGCTGGTAACGCTTTCCGCCAGCCAGCTGTAGAATCCAACAAACAAGACGGCCACCGCTCAGCGCAGCGAAACCGGTGTTAAAGAATGGCAGTAGATGTTCATGGCCACAATGATTATGAGAATAGTCATTGTTAGCCCGTGCCCCACAGGAATGCCTAGACTCTCACGCCCTGTTGGAGGGGAAATGGGGATTGAGCATCATTCTTATAACTCAGCTTTGGGCATTTAGTTTTTCTCACAGACAATAACAATACAAAAACAATGTAATAAGACCAGACGTTTCGACAACAAAGTGCCTTCGTCAGTGGAAAACAAGATATAGGCTTTACATCGATAAAAAATATAAAAAAATCTATATTTTTATCGATGTAAAGCCTATATCTTGTTTTCCACTGACGAAGGCACTTTGTTGTCGAAACGTCTGGTCTTATTACATTGTTTTTGTATTGTCATTGTCTGTGAGGAAAACAAAATGTCTAACTCTTCTAATTTGGGCATTTAAGTGGCATTCGAAGTAGCGTCGAAAGTAGCAAAAAGAAGAAGAAATACTTCAGCCAATTTTAGATCGGTTCAGAGCAAAAGGTCATGTCACCAGAGGTCATCGATGGTAAAATTTCGCTTGGACAGGGTGCGTTGTGCGCACCGGTGCATTGGGTTTCCAATTTCCATGGAAACATCAACAGACTCGGAAGCTCGTAACACTAGCGTGGAGCCGAATTCATATCAACCGCCGCTACAATGCATGGCAGCGCAGCGCAGCGTGCTGCAGCGCGGGACCGTGAAACACCGCCCAGGGCTATCCATGTGTCAGGGCAATCCAACCCACGTGATAGGCTCGGCCCCAGCGGAGCATGAGGCTCAGGACTCCCGCCCAGGCCCCCTGTCTCCCCCTAATTCCTGTCATCCTTCCCACTCTGAAATCGACCGAAAGAGCCTAACCTAACACAACAAGCAGCTCGTTTACCGCTATGTCTGAATAATATTGTCAGATTTAATTAAGGTCAACGGCCTAGCACGTAAATAACAGCAACTGCCACCATCGGTATTATGAGAAAACCAATTGCTTTTCCACAAACACTATAAGTTTTAAGCTAAACTTGCATGAAATTAATTTTACCAGCCTCGTGTTCCTCTTATCAAAACGCTTCGAATGAATCAAAAGTTGATCTTTAACCCTCGCCGGCACAGGCTATTTTGCATCCTTCGACGGCACAAGGGGGGGGGGGGGGGTGGCACGACCCCACTCGCGCTTGGCTCCTGATTGAGCTAGAGCTTCGCGGAAAAAACGAGCGTGTTGCCCGTCACGAGAGGAAGCCGGTGATACCCAATTTTAAGGTCCTAGGTCATCGGGTGACCTTCCAGGTCAGGTCAATGACCCGAAAATCGGGAAAATGGGGACCTGTTAGAAAGTCGTAAAGTGTGGCTGCTATGGGGTTTTCCGGGGCGCTGATCACGAATATCGTGTTAGTTTTGATCAGAAATGATGTCTTAAAGCATTTAGACCAGGTCGGGTCAGGTCAGGTCAGGTCAACCGGTAGGGGTCACGACGGGTATTCGTAATACCTGTCATCCGCCTCTGACAGCTTCGTAACATGTTACGAAGGCACCAAAACTACTTCGTAAATGTTCAAATGGTTGCTAAATTCGAATTCAGCTCCAAAAACTAGCGTAGAAACATGTAAAACTCGAAAAAGTGAACCGAGGTCACCAAAGGTCAATTACCTGATCTGACCTTCAGGTGATTCAGATGGTCAAAGGTCATTTGGGTCAGGGTCATGACATTTTCAAGGTAGGTGTAAAATTTATCAAATCGAGGGTACTGAAAGTTTCGTCGTGATCGGCCGCTTTTTACGCGAGTTATTCGCGAAAAACCTTGGGGGGGGGGTGCATCAACCCTCCCTCCCTTTGCCGGCGAGGGAGGTCATTTGAAGAATTTGGCCTATGTTCAAAGACATGACCTGACCAGAAATGGTCATGATGGATAGCAGGATATTAGATCCGTATCGTGTTCGTGAAACTTTACAAACACTTTAGATGATTTCATAACTTAAACATGTCTATCAAAAATATTTATTACATGGCTCATGTGTAAGCTGGGTGTGTGATCATGCTTACGAGTATGTTGAACGCAACTGATAATGTTCTGTTGGCCAGAATTTCTATATTTAATTTATCCTCCCGGATTTCATATTTTTAATAATGACACCTTGACGATATCGAGAAAAAAACGCTTAGGAGATTTAACAGCCTGAGATACATTCAGTATAAGGAAGGGTCAAGGGTGCTAGATTCTTTCTGTCCTCACTATCCTCAGGAAAAACCAATCCGCATCGCCCCTAGTCTTCATGCTTCCCTCTCTGGACTGGAGGTCACCCCACCAGCCAACCTGTAGTTGATGTCGGTTCCATTCCAAGACGCATAACCCTCTTCGGGTGACCGTTGGGGAGACGGCTTGACCGCCCGACAGGGCAATCGTCCCACGGGAACAGTCACGCTTCCGGAGTCCGCAGATCACTGTCGCTGGCTCGCACAACCAAATTACTACACCAGAGCATAGTTATGTCATAACTCTGCAAGGGCCTTCTCAGACCAAAAAGATGGCTCACAACAAAACAAACAATTTTCTCATTCAGTATTGTATCTCATCAGGCACCACATGTTTTCAGAGTGTTTATTATGCGTTCCATCCAAAACAAAGCGCAGTTCAACTTTCTCCCATTGAATTTAGCGATCTCAAAATTGACTCGACCTTTCTGTCAGCAATGTCAAACTTGCAAAATAAACGTTTCAAATACATATACTGTTGCCCATTGAAATCGCTGAAGGTTCTAAAGCGATCGGTTAGTCGATGTATTTAGATATGATGAGCACAGGAACTTTCCTTGAGGTAAGGTCACTTGACGTGACTGGTGACCTTGAATTGAAAGACTTGGGCGGGAAAAATGGATCATTTGAAATCTTAAAATGTTAGATTTTAACAATAATTGCAAACACTATCCCGGCCAAATAGTGAGTGAGAAGGGAGCGATTCCCCAACCCCATGTTTAGCTCCTATAATTGAGCTAATTGCTAGAGCCTCGCGGAAAAAAAAAAAACGAGCGCTTGCGTCGTTACGTGACGCAGCGACTGTCACCCCATTTTAAAACATCAGTGACCTCTTAGGGCAGGTCAAGGGCCCCAAGGCATTGGATCGGTTTTTGGTGAATAACTTCGCAAATAAAGGTCGCATTATCGTCATTTCGATACAATCGTGTTTTCTGTTCTCAGACGCGTCGATTTATATGCTTTTTTTGCATAGGTGAAGCAATTTAGGATGTCTAGGTCAATGTCATGTTAGGGCAACACAGGTCACGAAGCTTTTGAAAGGAGGACATGCTGCATAACATTTGATTCGACCAGTCTTGCAGAGTCCATTGATAGCTGTCCCGACTGGCTAGCTCATTTTGATCGGGAGTTATTGACGAGCACTCCGTCACGCAAGGTGAACAATGCAAAAGTGAAGCATTAAACCTTGCCAAGAATGTATGAAGTCACGATTTCATGTGCGTGAGGTATATTTTTAGCTCATTTCCGACGCCAAATTAACAGTTTCCATATTTTCCCATTATGCTTATATGACACTAAGTGCATTACGGATTTGCATCATTTTATAACCGACAACCGTGCAGTCTGCAGAGGTTTACTTAAGACGTCATAGTTAAGTGACCTGACATGAAAACGGGTTGATTTCAAATGATCCGGCTTGAATCAAATGTAAAGCATATGAAATGTCAGCCTTCTATAATCAGTGTGCTTTGAGCTACCGCAAAAAAAAAAATACATGGTGGCGGCACCCACCCCTTCTTCTCGGCCGGCGAGGGTTAAACCTCGCTTCGAATTATTGCAGATAATGATGCGACCGAAAACAAAGCATTTATCTGTGTCTAGAACGGCCGCTGACTTGTTGGACAAGATCCCAGTCTTAATTTGCTAGATGGGAATAAAATACTCGGCATATGATGCATATATACCCCTCGATTTGCCCTCGTGCAAAATCAATTCTAATCATCCCTGTCGCCTTTTTTATCCGAGATGATGTCGCCACTAAACGGGTTGTTTTGTTTGCTTGCTTGCGTTGAATGGTCATTACGGATTATTGCAGGATTATGATATAATAGGAACGGGGCAAGGGAGGATATGCACTGCAGTGCAGGTGTTTAATTTAGATCACAAAGGCATCGTTTCCGGCATCGTGCAGAGTCACTATCTTCCCCTCCTCTGCACTGCGGCATCTCTGCGCCCCACACACGGCGTCCTCACTCCACGACCGGCCGCCGCCAACTGACCCACTCGCCGGGCGCCGCGACCTGACCCGTGTCACTGCCGCGGCCTGCGCAATAGAGTCGGGGCTGGAATCCGGGGGTTCGGCCGGCCGGCCGCCTCTGGAGTGGGGGACTTTTTTAGTAGACCTACTGTACAAAAGGAGCTTGTTCACGAAAAACTATTATGTAACAAGTGGTGCCATACAGACGACTCCTATTTAGTATCGGTTAAAAAGGCGGCAAATATACAAAAGTCGATGAATCCAGTTAAAATTGATGCAACAAATTGGTGCAAAAAATGCAAGAAAGTGGATTCAAGCACTCCTACTTTATAATACCCACGCAGTGCATTCTGGATCGCATACGAACCAGACCAGATACCTAGCCGCATTTTCGAATTTAAATAGAAAACATAATATCTTTTGGAAACTCGCTAAAAGAAATCAGAAATGAATTGACAAAAGGTAATTAGCGAAATGGGAATCGAGCCGGCCTTTTCCAGCTCGAGCTCAATGGGCTCCCTGACATTCCCAATGTAACCCTAGCCTGCAGGTGGCCGCCGCTCGCTGTCAGTCCAACCAATCAATAGGCTCGTCACTCGGTGCGGGGCCGGGGGCGGGGTCACGCAAACTGAGCACCGGAGGAGGGCGGGCGGGGAGAGATACCATGGACACAGTGGCCGGCACACACTGGGCGTCGGCCGCCCGCCCACCGGCAAATGTGGGAGTCATAGTACCCATCGATCAGGCAGGGCAGGGCCGGAGCCGGATGGTACAGCCCGGACGGTACACAGCGGACGACACAGCCCAGATCGGACAGTACAGCCCACACCAGACGGTACAGCCCACATTGGATGGTGCAGTACACATTGGACGGTACAGCCAATAAGCCCCTCCCCCCCCCCCCACACACACACACGGGACAAGCTCGTCTATGGTATTTAGCGACAGGTCCTAGCACTGGACCATTGTGCACCATTCAGCTCTAGGCAAAGCCATCGACACAGAACGCAAGCGGTGCATCATTTATTTTCGTGAATAATTATTGATCCCCATCGTACCGCTACACAGCAATGAGCGGACTAGCTTCTGGAAAAGCCGCTGGTAAATTAGTTGCTAACTGCTTATCAGCCACATTCCGACGATCCATCAAATGGCCAACACAGTACCCATAGCCTTATATAAGAGGATGGCATGATGGATTTCCACATATTTGGGTGTAACAAAGACAAGAAATGCCAGCAGTATTTCCTTGAATTAATATTGTACAGTCACCCAACCGCACAGCCCACACCCAACCGCACAGACACTGAGTATTTCCCTGCAAAATTTTAATGCGTACGATGAGGAATAGGAGTGTCCAAATCAAAGTGACGATTTTCACTTTAAACTCTCCTTTTGCGATACAAAATGTAAGAGTATTACACATGAGTCGCCATTATCTGTATTGTACTCCTAAAGGCTGAAATTATCAATCAACCACAGTACCAATTTATAACCATAGGATTTATAACCACAGTTGAAAATGTGGAAAAGCATGAAGTGTACCTGAGTAGGTGTGTTCACGAGAGATTGAATGGGTAGGTGAAGCGCCTTCTGAACCTCACAAATACCTCATCCCTCCCCTCCTTGCCTCCCATTCTTCCTTCCTCTCTCCTTGGTCAGCAGACAGCCATACACTCACCGAGCATTAGTGAGTGGTTGATGACGCCACCGAGGCAGTAGGCGAGTGCTATGACCTGCAGCCAGGGCCGGCCGCTGACCAGGTAGATGCTGACCAGCTGGAAGAGCACCATGGCCGTCACCTTGTACGGCATGCGCTCGTCGCGGCCAAACAGACGCTTCATCTCTGGGTACTTCTCTGTGGGCGGACGCGACAGCATGGGAGTCAGACGAGCGGGAAGTGGGGCGGAAAAACACAGACATGTGTTCAATCTGAGAAAATAGATATGAGATCTAATCACACCCATGCTTATCAGGGATATTATGGGACTTCAGATCCAGCTCCTCCATATCCAAGAGCTGCACTGAGACCAATGGTCTAAACAAGACATTTGTTCGAAGACCCATAGAAATCATGAATCTTAGCAAAATTCTGACAAGTAGGTCACTGCATTCTTGACATTCTTCCACAGACCACAAACAAAGGAAACATCCTGCATAAGGGAATAACCTCAGAATGAAAATAAGTACATATATCTAGGGCAATTGTAAGGGCATAAAACTTTTGCCCTTTTGAATTGAGTTACTTTTAGCTCAAGCTACTCTGCCACAAAAATGCTATTCTATTTCAAAAACTCATGTCAAAAGTGGCATTTCTCCTCAGTTTAAGATTGAATGCTCGAGCTTACAAATGCAAAACTTTGATTCCCCTTAGGCATCAATGACCACCACTATACTTAGTAGGATCAGGGCTACTTACTGAGTATTTCCTTCCTCCTTGTTGCATGGGGCTCTTCTGTGTATGACCACTCAAAATCTGAGTGGGATACATGTTGCCCCATGGTGCTGTATGCTGAAAACAAAATCCATTGCTTTAAAAGATACCTACAATATATAGCCATTGACAAAATGCATATCAAATTACAATATCAATATCAATATCAATATAAAACTATACTATGCCTATCAATTGCGGTTGAGCAGTACCTACAGAGAAGATTTTGCAGGAAAACATGCAAATTGCCATATGAACCGCAGGCTGCACCAATGTGCTGGTGCATTTTCATACATGAAAATGATTGTGTGAGACAAAATTAGGGAGTTATTGCCCATGAAGGATGGGGACTTCCATTATTATTCAATTTCACACAAGCAGAATGCTGCTTGAAGCAGCATTTTCAATACACATCAGCATTCTCCCAACCCAAAAATCAGCCTAAACATAACCACACCCACACACCTTTAAGCACCGGCACCAACTTTCAGAGCAACCGTCCCCGTCCGAAAAAGGCCCCACCCCTCGCTCTCCCAGGGTCTTGCCCTCCCACAATTACCAACCGGACACAAACAGACACAAATCGGAAACACTTGCAGGCCTGTTTTTGGTTTGCGATGTGGACTTTTACAGCTTTTCTATCGATATAACCATGAGTGTTATATTCAGTCTGACTATTTCAAGACAACCTGCGTCGACTTGAATTCCAAGTATTGTGAAAGTTTTTGTGAAGGTTGGATCGAAATATAGCTGGTGGACGCCTTCAACGTGACATTTCAAAGGAATACCGCGTTAAGGTCATTTTAACTCATATCGATTGATAAAATTGTATTTCGATCACATAGCATCATTTGAGCACAAGAGGTACGCTTCAAATATAACTCATGTAAACAATGACTTCCCATGTTCATTTAAACTGGGCATTAGAATAATTGTTCTCTAAACAAACCTGAGGAATCACTGCAAAAATGTTATTGACATCGATACATAATAATAATTTTCATCGATCGCGTACTGTAGTCCAGGGACCTTGACATCACGCCGTGAATGGCTCAGCTGCGCAGCATTTGATCACGATACTGCTACCAAATGCTTCCAAATTCTCAGAGCTGGGCAAGTGCGTTCCTTTAGTGCGTTCCTGCGTTCTTCCGTACGTACGCACCGCCCTTTTTAGGAACGCAAGAACGCAGGAACGCAAAGTTTTTCAAAGGAACGCAAGTAAGAGGAACGCACCACCCGAAATTTTGAAGCGTTCCTGCGTTCTTGCGGAACCACCCGAAAAATTATATTGCTGCCAATGACCTCTGTGTCAAATGTTTGAATCTCGAGTACGTGTGTTTGCCGATAGAGGCGCCACTTGTCGGTCGAATCGAGGAAGGCTTGCTTAGATTTAGTGGTGATGTTTACTATTCGATTCGGTTTCAGGCATTAAATGTGTAAAAAAAAATTAGTGGTGATGTTTACTATTCGATTCAGTTTCAGGCATTAAATGTGTAAAGTAAATATGATAACTTTTACTAAGATACATCTTTTAACTTAACTATTGTTTTTTTAAGCAGGTCGTATTTTTGTTGAAAACCCTACGGATGATATTGGTAAAACGTACTTCAGATATTCGATTCGGAAAAGAGATGTCGAGTTGCTTTTCGGCCCCACGTCGCCATTCTGGGTATTCTGTGATCGATTCGCCCCGTGTTTAGTTGGGCCCGCGCCGCGTGGTTCGGCGGTATTTTTGAGGGAGGAACGCAGGAACGCAGGAACGCTAACGCACCGAACGAAAAAAAAATTGAGGAACGCTATTCCAGGAACGCACTAACCGCGGCCGGAGGAACGCAGGAACGCTAACGCACTACCGAAAATCGAGGAACGCGCCCAGCTCTGCAAATTCTAGGTCCCTAGGGCTTATGTAAGCTTGATGTAAGCGCGGTGAGAGAAGCGCCGGCGGGCCGCGAGTGAGAGGGATTCTTACTGATGACCCGTTAGGATCCGATTGAGGTGTCAAATGCCCGAGCCTTCCAGTTCCAGACATGATTTGGTTGGTTAGGTATGCCCGTGGAAGATGGAAACTAAACACGAATTTGGAAATAGAATAGCGCAAGTCTAAAGAAGTGAATTGTGTGATAAACACAACAGCCCTCAGGCGCTCGCCGCTCGAGCCCCACCGTGCGTTTCTGAGGATTGGTAATGACCCACCCTTCATTGTTCTTCTGACGTGCCATTGGCATGTGGAGGGAAGTGGTCTGCAAAACCAGTTAGGGGCATGCCCGTCAATCATTGCACATTGCACAAATGTATCCTCAATGATAGTTGCAATATCCAGGCAAGCCCCCGCGCCTATTTAGACTTCACCGACAGATCTCACGTTCGGAACCCGTTGGCGTTCTCATTCTAGCCGAGCAGCTCCTTCAAAGAACAGCTTTAGAGCAGTCCGGTTATCGAATCCACTTTCTGTTTCACAAAGACACAAGTTAATAGTTCCCGTTCATTACAAAATGGCGATGACTGTGTCATAAGTAACACATTTTATGCTCTGCTTCCTCACACAGTAACGAGATGACCGACATACCACGCATTCAATGAGCTTCGTCCGGGGCTGCACATATTTGTGACACAATCGGCAGCACCGACAGCCACACCGCCGGACATCAACACCGACACCAACACTGGGCACAGGACTGAACCGGGCTGAGGGCCGGCTCGGGGCGCCGGTGCCCCTCATTCCACCAAGTTCTCCGGTCAGACACCCGGGAGTCTCACGCAGACCCTGACGTTCCCACCTCACGACGCCGATTCAGACTCCGTCTCCATGGCTACTGGAGTGACTCCGTCTCCCGCCGGCTTGTCCCCTGTGGGCGCCTTCTCCCCTGTGGGCGCCTTCTCCCCAACGGGCGCCGCCGTCTCCCCAGAGGGCGCCTTCTCCCCTGTGGGCGTCTTCTCCCCTGCTGGCGCCGTCTCCCCTGCGGTCGTCTTCTCGCCCTCGACCGCCGGCGCCGGCTCTGCGTCTTCCTCCATAGCCTCATCTCCGGGCGCCGCGGTGTCGTCATCTCCGGGCGCCGCCGGTCCATCCTCGTCATCGCTACTGTCCCGGTCTCCGCCGGGGTGCTGGGGCGCGGCGCGGCGCAGCATCGGACGCGCCACGATCGTCCCCGGAGAGCGCCAAGTCTGCCGCGAACGAGCAAAGCGTCAGACAGGGCGGAAGGTCAGAAGGTTTAAAATAATGTTTATCAGACAGCACACAACTGCTACTATAACTCGGTAAACAAACGTCGATTACGATGCAATGAGCGTTTAAGATTTAGCAACACGAAACAATACACGCGAGGAAGTAACCCACTCTTGAAAAGTCAACCATTTTTATTACTAATGCAAACGACAAAGCAGATCTAACCAATACCCGCTCAGCCATAAGTCGCCCACCGTGTACGCCAGCTCTCTATCCTCCCAATTCCAACATCTAGAGTACCTGGGCCTGCTGTTGCTGTTGTTGCCGCTCGTGCTGCTGCCGCTGCTGCACCTCCCCAGTCCTCAGGCGCTCCATGTACATATCATACACGAACTGCGCCATATGCGGCATGTCCGCTGCGATAAGCGGCGCGCCGCGCGGCGGTACACGCACCGGCCGCGCGGTTGGGTGCCGCTCCTCGGGACAGAGGTGCAGCTGGGTCGGCCGGGTCGCCAGCTGGCCAGGTGGAGAGGAGAGGGTTGTCAGAGGGTTGTGATCAAAGGGCATGTTGAAAATTACTGCAGAAGCACTATAATTATCAGCAATCAGTAGACTGTAGATTTATCATTCGATTTCTAACTTCATCGATATTATTCCAGATTCATTCTTATTATTCCGTAATCAAGATTTGTTTAACCTATTTTCGTATTTTTAGATATCGAGATTTCTTATATATTATTCGATTTCTAACTCCCTTCTACGACAGCTGCGTTCACACCTAAATTTAGCGCCAACGACGAACCCTAGCGCCACGCACAGCATACTGCGAGTGGATGCAGTACTTTGACCAGCGGAGTACCCAGATCACAAACTGGTGCCTTCTACCCTCCCCTCACTCACCACACTGAAGGCCGGCGTGAGCTCGAAACAGTTCTGGAAGAGGGCCACGCGCGCGAACACGTACAGTCCGAGTCGTGCGCGAGACATGGCCACCACCAGCCGGCGCACATCGCGCAGGTGGCCGACGGCCTTGGTGCGCACCAGGGAGAGCAGGATATAGTCGTTCTGCTGGCCCTGGTACTTGTCCACAGTGTCCACCTGACGGAAAGGGGAAAGGGGAGAGGCGCGAGTGTGTCAGAGAGCCGGAGCCGTGAAATCATTCACAGCGGGGGATGGATCCGCGTCTCCTCCCAAACGCGGCTCAGCAAACATTCGAGTGACCCTGCCCTAAAAAGCGCGTTCCTCGAGCGCCCAATCAGCGACCAGCCGTAACGGAATATGGAGTCCCGGCTCTGCCGCTCCTCCTGATGTGACTGAAGTTTCCTTCTAATCCAGTTTCTACTTTATATTGCCCACAGCGCCGCCTCTTAAGTCCGGTTTCTCTCTAACTCCCCGATCCGACCGTCCCTCACCTTGCAGGGCAGGCCGATGGCCGCGTTGTTGATAAGTCCCTGAAACCCCGATCCAATCGCCCAGCCCCACACCGCCGGTCTCTCCGTCCATCTCACCTTGCAGGGCAGGCCGATGGCTGCGTTGTTGGCGCAGCGCTGGTTGATGACGTCCCGAATCAGGTGCTTCTGGCCGTTATAGGTGGTCAGGATGGATATCTTCTCCGCGGGGTAGCCGAGCAGACGCATGTACATGTACACGGCCACCACGTACTCGGCCTCGGCTAGGTTCTGTCGGACAGAGGGGCCGGGACGCGTCAGGACAGATGGCGAGACTTCCCGCTCCACAACCCAGGGCAGAGTGCAATGCTCTGGGCCGTGATGGGTGCAGGAGATCCATGATCGAACCCATCCAGTAGAACATCGACAGACAGCAATAAATACAAGCAACGAATAAACAAAAACCATTAGCACCAACCAACAACTTCATACGCGTATATTGGTGCCAGTTTATTGACACCTTACATGTTTACTGACAGCATAAATGCACAATGCAAAGGACATTTATCACCCATATTCAGTCAGAGCTTTGGTTATCTACGTGTTTTAACTACCCATCCTTCAAGTTTACCTTCAAGTCATTCGACCACGTCTACCTTCACCGACCGTAGCCGCCTTTCAATGCCCTGTTATGTTACCCCGTTCCAATCCCTCCACTCTTCCCTCCTAGACTGGCTTACCTGGAAGAAGTAAGGACTGGGTTGGCTCACCTGGAAGAAGTAGGGACTGGGCTCGCTCTCGCCCACGCCGTTGAAGTCCTCCACGTTGACCACCTGGTAGTCGAAGCAGAAGCCGGCGTTGGCCCGCTGGTACTCTGCGCGCTGCTGCACGTGCGGCAGGTCACCGAGCACCTTGTAGCGCCAGTTATACAGCGAGCAGATACTGTCGGCCAGGGGAGAGCGGGGGGGGGGAGGAGGGGAGTCAGTACTCGGTAGACGATGAAGTGGAGATGAAATGGGGCGATTAGCTGGTGAGGGGTTTGGAGAGCGAATCGCTCATTAAACATTACTGAAAAAATCCATACACACATTTAGCTGGTGCCCCAACAGCAGTCCGCATGATCGAATGCGTTTACTCGACAAGTGCCAATCACTGAATCATGGTCTACCCATAGGAGTTGTCCTGGATCGGACCTCACTCGCTCATCCAACGCCTTTGTAACTGACCTAGACCTGGCGCATCCCTGGGCGTCCACAGACTACTGACCTAGACCTGACCCTCCCACTGACCCGTAACTGACCTGGAGCGGGCGCGTCCCTGGGCGTCCAGTAACTGACCTGGACCCTGCCCTCCCATCGACCCATCCCCTAACTGACCTGGACCTGGCGCGACCCTGTGCGTCCAGCTGTACAGTGGGCACTCCGAGGCGCACGAAGCGCGTGAACAGCGACTGCTCCATGTTGGAGTACTTCTGGAAGGCCATGTTCTTGATGACAGGCGGAAGCTGGTGGTGGTCGCCGATCATGATCCAACGCTTCAAACGGCTGTGGAGGGGGGGGGGAAGGCGGGGCGGTCAGAAGAACGGGGGCGGTCAGGAGACGGTCAGACGATAGTGAGGGCCGGTCACACGGCTGTAAGGGGATCCACGAAACACAAAGGTTTCTTAACATTGTGACATATTGTTGTGGCTCTGGAACCAATAACCAGGCTACGCTTGCTTGCCGTCCAAAAGCCCGAGACGAACAGAACTGCGAAAACCGTATTGTCGTGACATACAATGCAAGTTGACGGTGTTGGGCTAGAAATAGTGAAACAAACTTACACGAGAAGGCTGGCATCAGCAGTGCCAGCTAACACGCACCGCACGGGCTGGACTCAGCCCCACTCTCCTCAATCCAACCGTCCTCTGCGTGACCCCCCCCCCCCCCCTCCAGCTCTCCCCCTCCTCACTTGAATCCGTCCTGCGGGTTCTGTAGCAGCAGCGGGATGAACGTCTCGATCTCGAGGATCTGCGCCGACTCCTCCATCAGGATGTTGTCGTACTTGAATCCCAGCTGGACGAGCTCGTTCCGCTTCAGCGCCGCGTGGGTGCAGGTCATGGCGATCACCTTGGCTTCTTTGACGAGCAGGTAGCGCGACCGGTCCAGGCCGCTACGGAGCAGCTCGAACGCACGGAATTCATCCAACTGCTCGAACATCTTCTTGATGTACCTGCCGGCCGAGCGGGCGGCGTGGTACACGGTACATTCGGAGCAAGGCATGGTCAGTGACTGTTCAGATGTGGTATGACGTTACTATTCACTTGTGATAGGCGGGTGCCATGTATCTTTGACCGTGGCCATCACAGAAAGGAAGGACTTATTGTAATGTAGTTTAGAAACACTGTCTCCCCAGTCCCCACCACGTTACATTTTTCGCATCAGTCAGAAAATGGCATTAGTATGGCAGTGCCCTTGGCAAGGCGAGGTGCTGATTGTGAGTAAAAGATATTGCTGCTATTTACCTGAAGCAGCCCTGGGCGATCTCAAAGTCCTCGTCAAACGAGTTGCCCTTGAAGATCGGCTGTGGCGCGTCCTCGAAGAACCGTGTGAAGGGGAAGTTGGTCTTGATGCTGCTGATCGGGAGGGTCTGTGGCAAAGAAAGAAACATGTCATTGCTGCTAGCTGTAACACTACCATACGATTTTATCCAAAACACCTATCAACAGCTGGCAAAGGGTGTCTCTCATTTCAGGCATTTGATACCAAAGCTCCGGTAAGATTCCTCAAATCACGCTTTCACCGCCGTGACCCTCACCTCCTTTTTCTCGGGGGAGACTCGGCTGAGAAACTCCTCCCATCGGCTGAGTATGTGCTGCATGAAGAAGTGTCCGGCCGTCTCGCACGTGTAGGCGGCGTCCCCTGCTACCTGGAGACTCTGCTGGAGTCGCTGGACGGCGTCCAACAACGCCAGACGGTGGGAGAGTACGAAATTCACACGGCCGTACCTGTGTTAGAGAGGGGGAGGAGGGACGGTCAGTGGGTGGGGAGGGAGCCGATGCGAGGGGCGGAAATCACAGGTCGTGGGGCTCGAGCACGGGGAACAGTCTCCAATGGGTACCGGATAAGAGTTAAAAAAAAAACTAAGTCCCAAGTATCTATCAATGCCTTGCAAGAGGACAGCACAGCAGCAGCCTCCGGGCTAGTTCCGATACCGTGCCCATCTCCCTGTCTGCACCCCTCTCCCCGTCTCCACCCCCTCTCCATGTAATCGTCCCATCTCCCCGATACCGCCCTCTCCCTCAGCCACCGACCTGCTGAAGTCCTTCTCTGTCTCCAGCGCCTCCTCGCCGTGTCCCAGACGGAGCAGATGGCGCTCCTCAATGTCCAGCGCCATGATCTTCTCAAACAGCTGGTTCAGGGCCTGGTTACTGTGCGTCACGATCAGCGTACGCTGCTCGGGGAAGTTGTGGTAGATGTTTGAGATGATCTGAACGGCCACGTCTGTTTTTCCGGTGCCCGGCGGACCAACGACCAGAGTCAGACCCGGCTGGGTGCCCGCACGGATAGCCTCCACCTGGGTGGGCGTGAAACGCACCGTGTTCCTGCGCAGAGAGGGGGAGAGAAACGGGTGTTAGCGAATATCCTAAGTCGTACACCTATTTCCTCCACAAACCAGCTCATTTAGAGCTCAATAGTCAAAAACAGGTCAGCAAACAGCTCTCCGTAAAAATATGGCGGCTGCAACTGGATTTGGGTATGTTTAGACAAGGAATATATTACCTAACACCAGATACAAATCATCGTAGCAGTACGCGGCGAGTGTCCATTTCCATTCTGGACCGCGCAAACTGTCACTAACCGTTTGGGTTGCACGTAGGGATACGGTCCGCGACTGGGGATGACGTGCGGCTCGACCAGAATCAGCTTGGAGCGTTCCTCGGGCCCAGAGTCCGGCCGAGTCTTCTTCTCCTCGACACCGACAAACGTCAGCCTGTGAGCAATAAGGGATGTTATTATATAGTTATATACAAAAGTCAGCCCTATAGCAATGGACATGGGCAAATGTCAGTTTGTGAGTGATGGAAGCAAGTTAACATCTTAAAAGGAAAGCGTGTCAATACAAGAGAAAGGAAAAAGGACAACCCTTTCATTTCAACATGTGCAGGTTTCTCCCAGTTCCGGTTGTCTAGCTCACCATCCATGCCTAGCACGGCCGCCTCCAGAGCCCAAAATACCTATTCTGCAACCTGTAGGCTACTGTCCAGATCTGCTCCCCGGTACACCCACCTGAACGGCGCGCAGGGCTTCACGTCCCGGCAGCCGTCCTTGAGCTGCACCGTGTGTCCCGGGAAGCTCTGCCGCAGGTGCTCCAGGTCCAGAAACGTGTCGTTCCAGTCCAGCGTCGAGATTTCGTCCGGCATCCTGGAGCAGCACAGGTTAGTGGTCAGTGTCAGTTGTCACAGGTCAGAGGACAGAGGTCAGAGGTCCAGGAGCGCGTCGTTCCAGTCCAGCGTCGATATCTCGTCCGGCATCCTGACAGGGCAGAGGTCAAGAGGGTGTCAGGGGTCAGTGTGAGGGTCAGAGGGCAGAGATCAGCGATCAGTGGTCATAAGGCATAGGCCAGTGGTCAGAGGGCAGACTGAGGCCAGGGGTAGGTTGTCAGAGGGCAGAGGGCTCAGGGCAGGTCGGAAGTCAGTATCGAAGATCAATGGTCATAGGTCAGATTCAGAAGCTGTTTGGTTAAGAGGCATTGTCAGAATGATAACACAGTCGTGACTGCAATTTCATCTGAAGTCGCCAGAGAATGCGGCAAAACAAATGTTATGTTTCGTCAGGCGAATTGGTCAGAAAAATTATCACATTGCCATCCAAAAACTGAGCTCTTTCAGCACGCATAATTGGCACCCCTGAGAGTCGGCAAATGGTCCCACCACCGCCCTACCACGATACACCGAGACCCCCTCCCACCATCCTCTATCCTTTAGCACAAGGACACCCACACCGCCAGCTGTTCACGTACTTTGCGTAGTGCGCGGCGCCCGGGTCTCCGTATCCGAGGATGATATCATGAAGCCAGTCCGGCACCACACACTCGTTGTTCATCAGGTCCCGAATCGTCTCCAGCACCGCCTTGAAGTTGTTCTCCTTCGGCTTCCGGCGCATAATGATGTTGAACGTCTCGTAAACGTCCTGGCGGCGTCAGTGGATATGTATGAAGCCGTCGTAAAGGAACGGGATTGATGTCATATTATGATATATCTATGATAAAAAACGGACTTCACTGATGTCATAATATGTTTGAAGACTGGGGCCTAACAACCCGCCTCCTTTCCCTGAGCGTTACTGTCAAGATCCTGTCGGTACAGGTTACAGTCAACTTACCTCCTTTCCCTGTGCGTTACTGTCCAGATCCTGTCGGTACTGGTTACAGTCAACTCACCTCCTTTCCCTGGGCGTTGCTGTCCAGGTCCTGTCGGTACTGGTTACAGTCAACTTACCTCCTTTCCCTGGGCGTTGCTGTCCAGATCCTGTCGGTACTGGTCACAGTCAACTTACCTCCTTTCCCTGCGCATTGCTGTCCAGATCCTGTCGGTACTGGCGGCTACTCTCCCCCCCCCCCTCCACCCCCACCGACAGCTCACCTCCTTTCCCTGTGCGTTGCTGTCCAGATCCTGTCGGTACTGGTTACAGTCGAGCCACACGCGGAACGTGCGCCGCTCGCCGGGCAGCACGGGCCGCGGGTCGGGGCCGTCCTCGATCACCCGACCACCCTCGTCGAGCATACCCTCGACCTCACAGCCGCGCACATAGGTCAGGCCCACCTGGGGCACGAACGGCGCCGCCGAGTCGTACCGCGCGCCTGGGAGGGAGAGCCACAGGGTCAGAAGGCTGATACCAAGTTGTGGAAGGGCGCAAAGGCTGGGTCAGGCAGCCCATTTGTTTGTTTATTGGGGCTTTAGGGCTTGCCGACTACGAGGTCATTTTGCGCCCATTCAGGCAACCCATTGAAAATAGGACAATCTGCGGGAAACGTTCGGCTAGGGCAGAGCCCAATCATACTACGTCTCTGCTATTCCTCCCTCTATCTAGACCAACAAGTTCCATGCCCCGACACTGCTGCTCTCACTCACAGTGTGTTATATTCTGGGTTCTCCCAGCCCCCTTCCCAGGCCCATCTGCCACCTTCAGAGATCATCGCAGGTCATCCTAAGGGAGAATGGTCTCCTGCCAGCCCACCCACGCTCACTGTAGGTCATCTGTGGCCATACGGTCCCCCACCTACCCTCTCCACCTCCCCTGCCACCCTGTCTCGCTCACCGTAGGTCATCTGTGGCCTGACGGTGATCAGGAAGCAAACGTCATGTTTCCGCAGTCCCTCCCACTCCGCCTTGACCTCGGGTCGCACGCTCAGGTTGACGGTGACGTCAGCGCGCACTCGCGCCGGCCGACGCTCACCGATGTTCGGCTTGGCCACCTGGCGGCGGATGGAGGAATTGTCAGCTCGTGAGAAACGGCCGGGGGAGGCTAGTTATTGTTGTACTGAGGAGCGGTCGCAAAAGGCCGATGATCCTGAACGTTTTGTTAGAGGGTAGGGGCCAGGTTTACACAACCGTGGTATGGCGCTGAAATATTTGCCAAGGGCAGGGAATTCGCCAACTAAAAATATAACTACCATGCAGAAAAAGATAAAATTATGTCGATTACGCCTACAAAAAAAATATCAATCATGTCATATAAATCATGTAAAAGACTTAATCAATGACTTCACACTTCTCTGGTCAAGCTGCCTGTGCTCTCCTACTCTAACGGCCACCTACCTCGACAATGGCGAAGTTGACGATGGGCTGCGCCATGCGCGCCCAGCCGCCGAACATGGTACGTCCGAGCTCGTTCTTCCATGGCTGGAGGCGCAGCACCACGTCCTCAATGTCCTGACGGATCTCGTCTGTCCGACGGGCGGAGGGGACAGAGTGGGTCACAGGGAGAGGGGCAGGGTGGGTCACAAGGGGCGGGGTAGTCACGGGGTGCTGCCCACATCTCTTTAGTACGCAACTTACCTACAAACAGCTCAAACCACCATATCAGTAGTAAAGTTTGTGCGCTCCGCAAATTATAGTGATCGTTAGTCTAATTCTAGTTTGCATCAGCTATTTCACAGAAGGAAAAGGTGTTCTCGGCTTCTGCCAGTTGGACTAGTCTGATTAAATTACACACTAAACATACGCATAGAAAGTCGCCCACTAAATCGTTGACTTGGCCACAAACGTTGAGAGCCCGGCCCCACCTCAGCGACTCCGCAGCTACTCACATGTGGACTCGAGTCTGAAGAGGTTGAAGTTCCTCAGCAGGTAGTCGTGCAGCGTCAGGAACTGCAGGTTCAGCTTGGGCAGCGCCAGGCAGCCCTCGCCCGAGAAGTACTCGCTGGGCACCACGTTACTGTCCCAGATGATGGCCTCGGTGGGGTAGAGAGGCATCTCGTTCAGAGTCTGCAGCTGAGAGGTCCGCCGCTCGTGGCGAGACACCTGGCGGGCGGCGTGAGAAGCTCAGCTGCGGGAGCTGGTCGCAAGGTCGCTGGCTGAGGGACTCGCCAATGAGTGCAGAGCCCTGCAATCCTCAGCTGCCTTCGCACACTTTACCCGTTCATTGTCCATTTCCTATCGATAATGAAGCATATAAAATCTAAGAAGCTTGATCAACTGGAGGATAAAAACACTGCAAGGTATTGGTCTTATTCACTCACAACAGATCACCCACAAGACCTACACCGCAACCTATTTCCACTCCCCCGAGCTCCAGTTCCCCTAAGTAGAGGTCTCGCCACTCACCAGCATCTCCAGCAGCAGCTCGGAGTCGTAGGGCGGCGGCTGGTCGGCCGTCTCCTTGGCCCCCTCTGTGACGGCCGGAGCCGCGGGCGGGTCCGGCAGCAGCGCCAGGAAGGCGGCTACTTCGTGCAGCTGCCGGTTGCTCAGCTGGCCAAACTGCTTCAGCAGCTGCTCCCGCGTGTCTACCGACGCCACGTTGGACAGACTGAACTGGCGCAGGCCCGGGAACTTGGAGAAGGCCGCCACCTGGCCGGACGGCGCGAGCAGTCAGAACCGGAGAGCGGCAGATAATACACTACAGCGGGAGCCGTCGGGGCCCGAGTGCTCGACATATTTACACTGCGGTAGCATTCAGACAACCTCCAACTACGCATGCCTGGCTCACAGCAGCCCTTCTTGCAACCACTGATAAAAATCTAATTGATAAAATTGTGGTATGCAGGGGAAAACACCAAACACATTCACATGTTAACAGACAAACATAAACACTAGCATTTACTCATTACCGATGCTCCCCCAGCTGCACACAACACACACTGATCTAGCTAGAGTCCCCTGTCTCCGCCTCTGACGCCCCCCCCCCCCCATTCCCCGGATCGGCACCGGTGTTCGGCCATACCTGCAGCGAGGTGATCCGTCCGTAGTGGAGCTGCATCATGTCCCGGTCAGACAGCGGGTCTCCCGTCTGGTCACTGATCTCGAACCGGGCGTAGAAGGCCAGCATGTCCAGCAGCTGGTCAGATGGAGGGGGAGGGAGTTAGGGACGGCACGGTCACACGGGAAGAGAGGCGAGGGGAGCGATACCAACACTACAATTCACAGAGCCAGATATTGGTAACGTACCCACCACCCCGTAAATTTAGGCAGCGATGGCATACGCAGAGATACACATCATACAGCTGCTTTTAGGACGTGCCATCATGCAATATTCGCCCATCGGAACAAAATTTGTTGCGATGGGCGAAAATATCCAGCGAAGATTTAATCGCCACGGCATACCGGTAATGTAAAGTAACTTCTCTCCTGCCCTCCTCCGTTGCTACCCCGCCCCGTCAAACCTGTACGAACATATGCCCTTCCCTTGGCTTGGCTCCACCACCCACTCCCTCTCACCTACACAACGACGCCCCGAATCTCACAAATGTAAGCAATGTTCCTCCTCACTCTGATCTCTCCTCCTCGCCCGTCACCCACCCTGTGCGTACCTGTACAAACAGCTTGCCCTCGTCTCGCTCGGCAAGTGGCGAGAGACGGCAGCGCACCACCAGATGGGTGTCGTCGAGCAGTGTGTTGAAGAAGCGGCGCGTCGGCAGGAGGGCCTCCAGGTCGATCATGAGCTGGAGCATCTGCTCGCAGAACGTCACCCGCCGCTTGTCCAGTGGACCTGCGGGTCAGGCCAGACAGACAGAGGTCGGTTCAGCGCTCACAGCCGGTCAGACGGGGTTCGGGTCAGTCAGACCCGGGTCGGGTCAGATCATACAGCAGGTCAGATAGAGACAGGGATATCTAAGCCAGGGGAAAGAAATAGGAGACATATCATAAGCGATTGATGATAGATTACCTACTGATGAACTCTCAAGAACACATCCAACGAGAAAAACTTTTCGAACATCGTTGGAGAGTCCGGTGGATTTCTCAAGGCGTAGAAAAAAAACTTTCGTCATCATCCGAAATCACAGACCACATTGAGCGACTATCGTTCCACCTGCCTTCATCTGGTGTGCTCTCGAGGATCTTCAAGAACTTCTGGATGAGGTTGTAGAGGAACCGCCGCTGGAAGTCCAGCTTGGCCTTCTCCTTCTCGTCCAGCTGAGCGTCCTTTTTCTGCAGGATCTTCCAGAACTTTCTCCACTTGGGGATGCGCCGCAGCTCGGCCTCGCGGCGTTTCTGCAGCACCGTCACACACTGTGTCAGACTCGCGGGCCGCCAGGTACCAGTTGTTAGCAGCTTGGTGCAAATTTTTACACTGCATGGTGCTCCCCATGTGCCTGCTCGTGAATCCCCACTTTATCTTTGCATGTAGAGCAGGCTTGCGTGTTGAAAGAATATGGAACAGCCTAACCGAACGTCTCTGCGCAGTTTTCGCATTATCTATGAAAGTATGTAGTTAATAAAATGATGTGCACAGCTCAAGAAGCGAATAAACTCCACATCAACCAGTCTACATGGTTGTAATTTGGATGGCAGGGTTAACAATGCATAAAAAATTGACAATCATCTCATTACCTACTCCCCATCCCACCAGCAGCGCCTGGACCCATCCCACACCCCCTTCAGAGCGCACCTCCAGCAGGCAGATCCACATGGGCAGGCTGACGAGCCGCTGGACCTGCTGTCGCACCAGCTCCACCTCCATGCTGTTGAAGCAGTGGTCGAGGAACACCAGCAGTGCCGTCATCTCTCTGAACGAGACCCGCTCCAGACAGGTGCGCGTCACCTGGTCGAAAAAGGCGCCAAAGTGCTCCGGCGCCGCCACGAACGGCTGCCGAACACAGAGACGGGTTAGTGTGACTCTCCCGGATCATATGGAGGCCGTTGAGGACAAATGCGCCGGGTTGAAGATAAACAGCTGAATAAACAGTGGCGTTAGATAGCGCCAGTGATCGATCAATACTTGATATGGCGGAAAGGGACCGTAGTTGCGAACAAGCTCTATTAACTCTTGTTAAATATGTCAATTGTCATTATTTTCCTTAGTCATTCCGCATTCTCTACTGTCCAGCAGACACCGAGTCGACTCACGTGCCAGGCGGGGACGCGCTCTCGGAACTTCTCATTGACGGTGACCACGACGGACATAAGGTGTGCGTGCGTGGCCAGCCTCGGGTTGTAGTTGGGCCACAGGTAGTTCTCCAGGTACTGAGAGAACTCGAGCAGCATCACACGGCGCACGGCGAAACTGGGAGCAGACAGAGCAGCGGTGGTTTATCTCACGACACTCGGAGTGGGAGAATATAGGTAGGTATCTTCGTCAGCAGTCGCAATGTATACGGTAATCGTAGCTTTAATAGATAATCAAAGGAATTAAACCGTTCAAATTAGCATCTATGGAATTTTGATCGAAAGATAAAAGTATTATACGTGGTAGGGTGAGACACCTGTCTAAAAGGAAGAATCGTACCAAATGTATTAAGCTCGCAACATTTATTAGCTAGGACATGCTATTTTATATCACGAAACACAGCATAATAGGTAATTTAACGCCTTGCTAAATGGGACGGGGGTAGAACCGTGGCACTGACTTTGATCCAACGAGCTCCCGTTAAGCGCTGATTCTGACCCGACAAGCTCCCGTTAAGCACTGACTTTGACCCGACGAGTTCCTGCTGGTAGATCTCCTCGATAATGGCCGGGTTGAACGGCGCCTGCTGGCCCACACCGACAATGTATGGCGACCAGTACTGGTTGGCCAGCTGAAATCAGGATTAGATATACGGTAACTGACGAAGGTACGGAGACCAGATGTACGGGAACCAGTACTGGTTGGCGAGCTGTTAATGTAAACACAGGTAACTGATGACATACTGGGAACAGTTGCTGGCAATGTACAGGGACCAGCACTGGTTGAGCAGCTGAAAACACAGTCAGTGATATGGTTATGCCCTAGGCTAACTACAAATGAGTCAATGACACTTGAGTAAAAAAAAACACACACACACACACACACTTATTGAGCACTGCATGATTCACTGACCAAGGTTCAGACAAAAGTACTTATAGATCATTGCTTCACCATTTATGTTCCAGTCAGTCACATCCAGCCCTTGCTCACCCTGTCATGCAAAGATGTCATGCAAAGATATTGACACTAAAGCATTTGCTAATTAAAGCCCATCAGCCAAGACTTATTCCAAAGCTTAACATCCCACCTGACCCAGCAGCTTGGGTGGGTGAGAAGTATCCATCACTACGGACACCTACCTGGGTGACACGGTCAGCGTTGATCTGCTGGACTGTCGGAGCAGCACCTTTGCTCCTACTTGTCTCCTTCATCTTTAGGTATTAATCACACCACTGGCTTCTGTCAAAGAATATAGGATTAGGCACCATAAATGAACATTAAGAAGGACATGCAGATAAAATAGATACTGTTGCTGAAATACTAAATACACGTCTAATAAGAAATAACACAATCTAATAAGATACATGTTGAACATAACAGCACCCTAGTGCTTGTCCAGCAAGACCTTGAAAGTTGAAATGGTTGATGGACTGTCAGCCACTGCCCATGACAACAGCTGACAGCAGCATGACAACAGTAGCCTGCACTCTGTAGGGAGTTCAGGTCATTTAGCACCCTAAAGTTGAATGCATTTCTGCACAGGACTTGCATGGTTTTGGTGGCCAAGGGTTTCTTGAGTTTGCGAACGGTGACCTGCCCACAGTCTGAAATCTTCAAACTTTAAGTGAACACACTACCTTAACATTAGTATTAATTAATATCAACATCAGCGAGTTGAGATACCTATCCAAAAAGAGTCCCTGGCGTGCAATTACCGGTTTCTCTTACCGGTTTCGGCACTCACAAGATCGAGAAATCCTTTAATTTGGAGACATTGGCTTTCAAGGCCTGCAATTCAAGTTATCAGATTCTAAGGGGTTAATGCATTTGAATGCCAGCTGCAGAGCTAACAATTTCTAAATCTTATATTTTAACCTTGGTAAAAGAAAAGACCTTAGACCACTGTTGCTGTGATGGTAATTGGTAAATACCAGGCGCGGATCCAGGGGGGGGGGGGCGACGGGGGCGGCCCCCCCCCCCCCCGCCATCCGAAAAAGGCGCCCATATCCCGCGGCAGAGAGGGCGCCCCGAGCAGAAGAGTGGCGACACAGCAAAGGTTCAGCAGAAATAGGGCGCCTCCAGCAGAAGTTGGGCTCACCAAGCAGGAGAGTGACGCCCAATTGCCTATTCCCAGCAGATGAGAGTCGCCCCAGCAGCAGATGGGCGCCCCCAGCAGAAGAGGGCGTCTCGTTACAAGAATATAAAATACCTTCTGTTCACGAGGGGCGCCCCTGGCAGCGGAAGGGCACCCTTAGCAGGAGACGTGTCCCCCTGAAGAGGAGCGACGCCCCAGCAAAAGGAGAGAGGCGCCCCCATTCCGAGAAGAGGGGCGCCCTGACAGCAGCTGGGCGCCCCAGCAAAAAAGAGCCCCATAATAAGAAAATGGGCGCCACTGGCAGAAGAGGGGCGCCCCAGCAGAAGAGAGGGGTCTCCAGTAGGAGACGGGCGCCCCAAGCAGAAGAGGGGCGCCCCAGCAGAAGACAGGCGCCACAGCAAAAGTTAATCAGAAATAGGGAGCCTCCAGCAGAGGTTGGGCCCGCCAAGCAGGATATGGGCGCCCCATTGACAATATCCGGCAGAAGACAGACGCCCCAGCAGCAGATGGGCGCCCCCGGTAGAAGAGGGGCGCCCCATTACAAAAAGAAAAGGAGTATATTCTACCAAGAGGGGCGCCCCTGACGACAGCGGAAGGGCAACCCCAGCAGAGGGGCGGTGCCCCAGTAAAAGGAGAGGTGTGCCCCGTTCCGAGCAGCAGAGGGTCGCCTCGCCCCAGAAAAAAAAAAACTGGAGCCCCATAAGAAGAAAAGGGGTGCCTCTGGCAGAAGAGAGACGTTCCCCGCAGTGGAAGGGCGCCCCCACAAGAGTGGCATCTCCAGCAAAAGAGAAGTGCCCCTGCAAGAGAGGGGCACCCCACCAAAAGTTGGGCAGAAGTGGGGCGCCTTCAGCAGAATTTGGGGTCGCCCAACAGGAGAGGGCCGCCCTATTCACAGTAGAAAAAAGACTCCTCAGCAGCAGAGGGGCGCCCTAACAGAAAAGGTGCACTCGTAGTAGAAGTGGGACGCATCAGGAAGAAGAGGGGCACTTCTAGCAGAAGATGGGCGTCCCAGATAAGTGGGCCGCCTACAGCAAATTGGTCGTTCTTAGAAGGAAGAACTGGGTCTCTCCATAATGGATTAGGCGATCCAAGCAGAGGTTGGGCGCCCCCGGGAAGTGAGGCATACCCATAGGCGCGGGAGCCGGGGGGCAGTGGGGGCAGCTTGCCCCCCCAACTCTGGGGCCGTGGGGGCGGTGCCCCCACAGCTTTGAGACGGAATACCACACTTTTTTTGCAAATGTTTTCTTTTTTTGTTGAAAAAGCCGAGGGGTGAAAAATAAGTGGCCTAAAACCGGTGAGAAAACTAGATTTGGGGTACCCTAGGTTAATCTCTATTATGGTGTGCCCCCCCAGTCGGAAAGTAGTTCCCGCGCCCCTGGGCATACCAGCATAAGTGAGACGCTTCCAGAAAAAGGAGGGGGCATCACCGGGAGAAGAAGGACTGCACCAGTAAATGGAGGCCACCTTTTTGCTAATATCTTTTGCTAGGGTAGCGGTGCCCATCTACGACTTTTAACCCGTGCCGTGCTGGTGGTCTGAGTTTTCCGTGTCCTGCTGGGGAGGGGGGAGGGCAAACTCCCTCGTCTAACTCGGCTCCTGGGCCGCGTAGTGACACGCGATAAGCGGCATTCGAAAGATCGTCAAAAAACAGGACGAAAACAAAACGGTCATTTTTAGGTCAGGTCGAATGTCAGGTCACCAGAGGTCATCAAAGGTAAAATGTTGCCTGTTTCAACATTTTTCCGTTTTCGAAGCAGCGGCACATAACTCGGAAACCAATAGAGCTATAGCGCCGCAGAAAAGCGCATTCGATAGCCCTTTTAAAGGTGTTTCTGCAAGCTGCGCTCAGATTTGACCTCAGGTCAACGGTTTAGCCTTCAGAGGGCAAAAGACTCTAAAAATAGCCTTTTTACGAACAATGTTTTCCTGCAATAACTTTTGACTCAAGAGAGTCTCGACATTACGTTTGTCAGCATTGCGTTTCTGTCGTCGAGACACGTCGAACAAACTAAAGGTTGACCTTATGAAAGGTAATTTTGAGAATTTGACCTCAGGTTAAGGTCATGACCTGACCGGGAAAGGTCATGCTGCGTAGCAGTCGATGCGTATCGTCGAGCTGTCAGCTCTGCTGAACACAGCTGAGGTGTTTTTATCGCTCTAGCTCGAATCAATCAAAAGTTATTTAAAAAAAAAACTGCTGCGGACCTATCATGACATGGGATGACCTCTAGGACATAATGAGTGGTCACACTAGGTGCAATGTTCTTATTCAGTGTGTTAATTTTATATGTATCCCAATGCTTGATATTGTCTAGAATGGCGCTCGTCCAAAAGAGATGCCTTTCAGTTTTCTCCCAAAGACTTAGTTATACCTACCTACCTAATGGAGACGTCGCACAACTGACCTGACCTTAGGTCACAGATATCGAAATTCCGAGATATACATTTCATGAATAGTGTTGCTTTCATCAATCGCTGAAAGGTTCAAAGCAATCGTTCAGTCGGTATAGCAATGGTAAGCATTTGAACTTTTTCTTAGGCTAGGTCACTTGGCATAACCTGGTGACCTGACCTTCCATCACCCGCATCAGACATTTTTACAACATGTGCAAAAAAGATGCATGATAAGGTATGCTGAAAATGGCGGCGCTGCGCGCAGCCGTTTTTCAGATATATGCGAAAAACCTGAGGGGGAGCGCGATAACTCCCCCTAGCACGGCGCAGGCTTTTACTTACTTACTTACTTACGATGTACGAGAATTTTGAAGGCCCTTAGGCCTGTGGGACTCTGACTTATCGAGCTCCATGACGATATCACTGCCTCAGTCATTGGAGTGGATGGTGTAGAGGAGGTGAGACCAGTGGCGGTCGAGCCTGGACTTGAATTCGTTCAGGGATCGCGCTTCAACCACATGAGCAGGAAGAGCATTCCAGTCATTGACGACCCGGACGCTGTACGCGTTTTAGCTCCCGATTTTGACGGTTTGGCGCCCCCTTTGTATTGAGCGCCCCCGGATTGCCAGGTCGCCCCTATTTCGACTTGCCGCCCACCCTCCCGAAAATTCCTGGATCCGCCCCTGGTAAATACCTACTGTCTTGCGCACATCAGTAGCACTTTTAAGACACCAAATTACTGCTTATAAATGACATCATGGGAACAGAGGTTATAAAAAAATGAAAGTAATATCTCAAACATCAGTTCAAGTTAACATTATACATGGAAATTTAGCATTTATCAATTTTAGTTCTTTCAGAACCATGGTACAATGTACATCACCTTCATGCAAATTCATTAAATTTTCTGAGGGTGGGACTTGGGAGGGTCCCTTTAAATAATACCATAATTTGATATGCTTATCGCTTATGTGATCATTCTTATGAATAGGCACCGGCACACCGAATATGCCGCAAACACCGCAAACTGTGAGTGATACGTCTGAATCTCTGAGCAGCACGTATAATACGGATAATCAAGTGCATGACGGCGGTGCGAATGAATCAGGCGTGACAAAACAGGAAACTAGAGGTAAGAAAACTAGAAATGATAAGAAGCCCCCGGGGGCTGAGACAGTGGAGGGGGGCCAAGTCCCACTGGAACCCAACCGGGGCCCCGGGGAGACGAGGGATGGTAGCTCAAGCTCATCACAGGAACTGAATGGGAACAAAACCCCTGAAATAAGGAGGCTGGATAGTGATGCCTACAGACCGTGGGGGACTCGGTCCAACAACACGAGCCCTGACCCGGGGTCGGGGTCGCGTTTCGACGCTGATCAAGATGGGGAGGACCCGAGGGGACTAACAGTTTGCAGGGGTGGTCCAGGAAAGACGGTATGCAACAAGGAGGTCAAAGACGGTGAAGGAGCTGTTGAATGTGAAAAGTGTTCTGGATGGTACCACAGCAAATGCCAAGGCTTGTCAAAGGGTGCATTGTCTGCACTGAACAAGTGGCATGGCACACTGGTGTGGCTCTGCACAAACTGTACGAAATGGCTGCATGATAAGACGCAACCCATGGCATCAAACACAACCAAGGACGATCTTGCCCGAATTGATCAAAGAATGGATAAGCTAGAGAACATCATGCGGCACAACTCTGCAACAATCTTGGAGTCTGTGAGGAACCAGGAGAAAATGTTTGCAGTCCAGTGCAAGGTGTTGGACAAGATGGACGCTGTTACAACAGAAGACAAAGCGAAGCAGCAAACATATGCAGAGGCTCTAAAGGGGATAAGCACAGAAGTTGTGAAGGAAGTGACAGAGAAAATAAGCAAGCTGCCACAGGTGACAGTGCCAGTACAAAGGAACAGGGAAGAGATTGCGGGGGTTCTAGACGAGCTGCAGGACAAAGAAAGGCGCAAAATGAACGTCATTGTACATAACCTGCCTGAAACAGACACCACAGCCCAACCAGACAAGAAAAGTGATGAGGTGAAGTTTGTAAGCATGATAAAAGAGGGGATGAAGCTGGTCGTGAAATGTACAAACTCATTCCGCATCGGAAAGAAGACAGAGAACAAGCCTAGACTGCTGCTGGTGACCCTTGCCACCATGGAAGACAGAACAAACATCCTGAGGTCAGCAGCCACCCTAAGAACAACCGTGGAGTGGGGCAATGTGTACATCACCCCGGACCTGACCTGGCAAGAACGAGAGAAAGCACGTGCTCTGAGGCAAGAACTGGCCAGGAGAAAAGCATCTGGGGAGGAGCACATCCACATTAGACAAGGCAGGATTGTCCCAGTCCCAGTTGAAAGACGTCACTCCCGACCTGTGAGCACACATCTCCCAGCAAGCGGACCAGATGCAGGAGTCCCAAGGAATGGGACTGAGACCAGGCTGCCAACTAACACCGCTCAGCTGGCGGCATCCCAGACAAGAGCGGAACCTTCCACTGAGCCCATTGCGCCAGGCGCTGGGGCACCCAACCAGCATTGACTAGATAAGGAAGGAAGGCAGAGGTCAAGCAAACTCAAGGTCCTCTACACAAACATAGACCAATTTATTAACAAACGGGATGACCTCTGTATGGCCCTGGTAAACGATGAGCCAGACATAATCCTCTTGACAGAGATAATTCCAAAGGCACAGGTTCACCCCATTTCACCTGCAGTCCTTGCTATTCTGGGATATAATCTTTACTTGAACTTCGATCCAGGAAAGGAGAACCTTGGCAGCAGTGGGTACAGAGGGATTGGCATATTCGTCAAAACTTCTATCAGGACTACCAAGCGCTCTTTCCCAGGCTGCAATCAAATCGAGCATCTGTGGCTGGAGATCCCTCTGCGAAACCCAAATCGCCTCCTCATTGGATGTATTTACCGTAGCCCATCTGCCCACGGACCGTCTTCTACGTCTGAGTTACTGGAGCTCATCACTAGCTGCACATCTGAAAGAAACACCCAAGTGTTGATTGCTGGGGACATCAACTACCCCCAAATCGACTGGACTCACAGCTACTCCACTGCCCCTGAGGGCCATCATACACACCAATTTATGGAAGGGCTGCAAGACTGTGGCTTCACACAACATGTCACCAGGGACACACGATACAGGGAAGGCAACAGGTCTAGCGGATTGGACATTATCCTGAGTAACGAGGAGGGGCTAGTCAAAAACCTTGTCTACCACCCACCCATAGGACACAGCGACCATGTGGTACTGAGGTTTGAGACCGTGCACTATGACCAGGGAAGAGAACCAAGGGAGCCCCGGCTGAACCTCAACAAAGGGAACTATGCGCTCCTGAATGATCGGATCAGGGAGACTGTCTGGGAAGTGCCCGATCCTCCGGACCCGCGCACCAGATACGAGTACTTCAAAAGGACGTTGGATCTTCTGACGACTCAGTGTATCCCCAGGTCTTGCCCAACTAATAAGAGACGCAATATCTATATGGACAGGGAAGCTATGCGATTGAAAAAGCTGAAGCGGAAGTTGTGGATCCAGTACACCCAATCCATGGATGACATCTGCCTTGCACGTTACAAGCGATGTAGCAACGACCTGAGACGGCTCACCCGCAATCTAAGGAAGGAACTGGAGAGGAAGCTGGCGGCTGACCTGAAGGCAAACCCAAAGGCGTTCTGGCGGTACTCGGCCTCAAGAACCAAGAGCAGGGCCGGCGTTGAGAACCTCCGCACAGACTCGGGTCAGCTTACAGTAAACGACGAAGAGAAGACCGCGGTGCTGAACGCATTCTTCAGCTCGGTCTGCATCGAGGATGACCTTCGGCCGATGCCGCACGCCGGGGACGCGTACAGGGGACCAGTGGTAGAGGACGTTGACATCTCAGAGGACCTGGTAAAACAGAAGCTCGCCCAGATCAAGACCTCCTCAGCCGCTGGACCTGACAGCATTCATCCAAGGGTACTCCACGAGACGAGAGACTCAATATCAGCTCAACTAGCAGCCATGTACCGGGAGTCGCTCGATACAGGGATCCTTCCAGAGGACTGGACGTCGGCCAACGTGGTCCCCATTTACAAGAAGGGCAGCAAGGACGACCCCAGCAATTACCGACCAGTCAGCCTGACGCCAGTGCCCTGCAAGGTGCTGGAAGCCATCATCAGGGACAGGCTGATGGAGCACCTGCAGGCAGAGGGCCTGATTACTGAAGCCCAGCATGGATTCCGGCCGGGCAGGTCCTGCGTCACGCAACTGCTACTTTCAGCAGAGGACTGGAGCCGTGCTGCAGAACGTGGTGACCCCATGGACATCATTTATCTTGACCTGGCCAAGGCCTTCAACACTGTATCAATCCGCAGGCTTCTCCACAAGGTGGCTGCACATGGAATCCGTGGGAAGCTGCTACGATGGATAGAGGCCTTCCTGACGGGGCGAAAGCAGCGGGTTACGATCGGCAGTTCCTGCTCGGAATGGACCTCAGTCCCAAGTGGAGTCCCGCAAGGATCTGTGTTGGCACCTACATTGTTTGTCCTATAAGTTAACGACCTGCCAAATGTCCTAAGCTGCGGTGTCAAGGTCTTTGCCGACGACAGCAAATTGTACCAGGTCGTCTGTGACCATGAGGACGCGCGGGCTCTCCAAGCGAACCTGGACGCTGTGACACAGTGGGGTGAGGATTGGCAACTGCAATTTAACGACACGAAGTGCAGGGTCCTCCACGTCGGTCGTCACGTCCACCGGCACGACTACCTTTTGAACGGTGAAGTCCTGCAGACGGCGACAGAGGAAAAGGACCTAGGAGTGATTGTTGACGCGGAGCTGAAGTTTAGGAGGCAAGCAGCGGCAGCGGTCAACAAGGCATCTCGAGTGATGGCCGTGATAAGACGGTCATTCAGCCTGCTGGACAAGATGACCCTGCCAATCCTGTTCAAGACGCTTGTGCGACCGCTCCTGGAGTACGGTAACATTGTCTGGGGGCCATTCAATCGAGCGGATCAGCTCCTCATCGAACGAGTCCAGCGCCGAGCGACCAAGCTGGTACAGGAAGTACGTCACCTACCGTACCAGGAAAGACTGAAGTCTATGAAGCTGCCTTCCCTCCACTACCGACGTCGACGCGGCGACATGATCGCTGTCTACAATGTGCTGCATGGGAGACTGGACCTGAATCCGGAGGAGCTCTTCAACCGAGTAACGACCAGAGATACAAGAGGACACTCCTGGCGTCTTGCGAAGCCCCATGCCGTCACCCGCATCCGTCGAAACGCGTTCGCAGTCAGAGTCATTAACGACTGGAACAGCCTACCATCATCCGTCGTAGACGCCGACTCTCTAAACTCGTTCAAGAACCGGCTCGACACTCACTGGAGACACCTCCACTTCACCCCGCCCCTACCATACGAACAGTAACACTGTCAAACACGAACTCGACTGGAGCGGACACTACAGGCCCTGGGCCTCTCAAAATTTTCCGTGCATCTTAAGTAAGTAAGTAAGTAAGTAATAGCACGCAACTTGAACTGGCAAAGCCGCACATGCAGCCACCGGCCAGCGGGTCACTACGAAAAACACAGGAAGTTTCACAGCGACACCCATCAACGATCTACATAACCTCACTTCTTGTTCTACTTTAAAACTTACGGTAGGTAGTAACAAAAATAATTTGAAATCGGTAGGTATCTGATATAGTTGCCTGGCATTTACCGACTAAAAACCGAAAGGACGAACCAGCGCCGACGACTGACATCTACCGGGGGCTCAGCAGGAGCTTGTTGACAAATCTTGTTCATTCGCATGACCAGCATAATTTTCACAGGTTCACCTACTTGTTGCTAGGCAACTAGCTCCCAAACAGAATTCTGACAGCCAGCTGCTAGGCAACTAGCTTTTCTTACTGACAGGACCAGGATTGCAGAACATTATCACAAACGTTTTTGAAGTTTGGAATTGAACTATTAGCGTCATTTCTATGTAAGGTTCAAGCATCTCAAGGTGTTTTAATAATTTTCTTTCAAAATAAATTATCGGTTAAAATTGCCTCTAAAATGATTTAAACAAAAAAGATATTTCGAAATAAATGGCTAACTTTTAGCAAGCATTTCTTTTTGACAAGATTCTTTGCAAGTCAATAATAGTCCGCGATATTAGAGCGGCAATTTTACCTGATTTTACCATTTAGGGCCTTGATTTAACCTTTCCCAGACCAGAAAAGACGTTTTTAGGATTTACAAACGAGCGAATGCGAACTGCGACGGCGGCACCTGCTCATCCGCAAGTGCGAGGGGGTAAACCCGACTGACTTGTGAACGGCACCCACTATCTGGTCACTAATAAGCCCCAGTCGACAGTCGTACTACCACTTGCCCGCGCCGGGCCAGTGCTCCGAGATTCCGCGCCGGGTCGGGGGGGGGGGGGATGGGTGTCTGTACACACCCCCTTCTAACTCGGCTCCTGGGCCACGTAGCGACACGCGGTAAGTGGCAATCGAAAGAACGTCCAAAATAAGGACGAAAACACTTCAGTCATTTTTTGGGTCAGGTCAAAGGTCAGGTCACCAGAGGTCACCATTTTGGAAACTGCAGACGGCTATCTCGGGAACCGATAGAGCTACAGCGCCGCGGAAAAGCGCATTCGATAGCCCTTTTACAGACCTTTCTGAGTATTGTTCTCAGATTTGACCTCAGGTCAACGGTTTAGCCTCTAGAGGGCAAACACGCGTTTTTCGGCAATAACTTACTATACCTAGGTAGGTAATGGAGAGACCGAAAAATTCACCTGACCTTAGGTCACCGATGTAAAAATTCCGAGATATACATTTTAAAGATAATGTTGCTCTAATCAATCGCTGAAAGTTTCCAGGCAATCGATCAATCGGTGTAGCTATGACGAGCATTCTTATTTTTCTGAGGTGAGGTCACTTGGCGTGACCTGGTGACCTGACCTAAGGCGACCTGGGTCTGAAATTTTCACAACATGTGCGAAAAAGATGCACAAACAGGTGTGCCAAAAACGGCGGCGCGGAGCGCCGCCTTTTTTTTAGATATTTTCGAAAAACCGCAGGGGGTGTTCAAACACCCCCGGCCCGGCGCGGGCTAGGGGACTGACGGTTCCTGAAAACTTGCGACCGCAGACCGGTCGGATATTCACAACCGGCGTGAGTCGGGATAGCTCGCCGACCGGCTGGAGATCCAGAAGTGGCCACTAGCACTCGAAGGCATGCGGAAGTGGTCAGAGGAAAAATTGCAGACAGTTTGAAAAACCTCCCGATCGGCCACCGACTGGCAGGGCAGCAGGCAGAGATCGGAGACCACTGGCAGAGCAGCAGGCAGAGATTGGCGACCACTGACCAGTCAGGCTGCATGATTGATCCGAGATGATCGCCGCGGATCAGTCTGTAAACGAGCGCTGATCTGACAGCGAGTAGTCTGGGATCCCTCACCGATTGACCTGTCTTAGCTTGTCTATTGTGTCTTATTGGTCGTCATATTGACAGCATTATAGTGCAGGCACTTGCATGCATCTCAATTTTGCCGCATCGCCGCTTGCGCGTAAGATGCGAGTACCTATATCTGCGTAGCTGCATTAGATGGCAATTTGGATCGAACAGAAATGACGCCAAGCTTATGGAAATTATAAACTATTGTAACCAGTCATTACAGGCAAGATTACAGGACTGCAAAATGTTCGACCAGAAGTGCACACGTCTCGCCAAATGGGCGACCTCCAAACATCAATCGCTGCCTACAAAATGCTTGTGTTCGGAGGGCCTGACAGTAGCGGCGGAACACCTTCATTTAAGGGGGGAGGGGCACTGCCGAACTTTGGTCTCATTCTTTCCATGCAACGCCCATAGGGCTAATGTTAAAATGCCAAAATCAAAGGGGGGCACGGTGCCCCGGTGCCCTCCCCGTTCCGCCGCCTATGGGGCCTGAGGAGCTCGCTTCTCATTTTGTGACGTGTTATGGTCACAAAATGAGAAGAGAACCCCGCCCCCTCCTAGAAACTGAACAGAATTACTCGGCAGGAACGACTTCATCGCCCACCCTCCGTGAAAACGGTGGCGGGACAGTGGTCTTTTATGCACCGTGCTTTTAAAAAATTGTAACAGCTCCGACCGGCTCCATATAGTGGTATATTTCTTGACTCCGCCAACAAATCATTCATTTTTTATAGCTTTTGACAAGGCCCACAAATTCAATATCCAGGACTGCTCGTGCTGAGAGCCCGCAGACGTAAAATAAAAAATGAAAAATGTAAAACCATCCTGCATGTTGCACATTAGCCATCCATAGTCCCTGATGCCATACCGACCTTTATAAGATGTAAATAAACATCAATAATTGGGTACCTACTGGATCTGAACCGTGAGCATCGTGTTAACACGATTTGTTTGTGCTGCAAATAAACAATAGGCATAAGAATGTGTAATGTGCAATGCAAAATGCACACACTGCTTTCGATCAACCATTCTCCCGATATTTGTGCATGCTTCAAATTTTAAGATGTGGGTAATATGCTATTGCTAAGCCATTTATTAGCAGCTCTCTGTTTGACTTGCACGGTGATATGTGACGGTCGACAGAGCTCTGTTAGCACGCAAGTCGCGGGCGCCTCAAGGGATCACAAACTCGGCAATCCTGCTTCCGGTTATTGAGATGTAAGGATCCCGAATCGACACTCATAAGGCAAAAGCATGGAGGCCGTTTGATAAATGACGTACTGCGCACCTTGGTGCTGAATTTTGAGCACGATCTCATGAACAAGGGCTGACGTAAGGTCAGCGCTCCACTGCTAATGTGTCCGGTTTCGTGCGCACCTTCCGGTGCTCTTTCACACAATCTTCTCGGTCGTGGGATGCATACGGGGAGACGCACGTGGGCGCACCAGTGCTTCACCAACTGAGCTTCAAAGCCGCCGAGGTGCGCGAGCTGAGCTTCAAAGAGTTCGGGCGTATCCTGCCGGCCGGTGTGCCAGACAGCGCGGGCCGCCGCCGCCGCCGCCGCCGCGTGCGGGCCGGGCGGGCTCAGTGTGCCGTCAGCGGTGGTCGCTGTAGGATCGTCGGCACCGACGGAGCAGCGGCGGTCCGACGCCGTCGACGGGGGAGTGAGGGACTCGGACAGGAGGCGGGGCTCGCCACAGTGCCACTGTTGCAGAAAGGAGGCGCATTGAGCAGACATTCCTAAGCGGAGTTCCACCGAACAGCCTCATCCAAAGGCCATCATACCCGGAACTGCCGCGCTCCGCCGGGAGCGTCCCGCATCGAGGGAGAGCCGTCGGTCGTCGGCGATCTCTAATCGCTCCGACTGTGAGTTGTCGATCGGCCCGATTGGTCGCCGCCCAAGTTGTCCAACTTTATGTGTGGTGAATCACCAACGAGCGGCCCCGGCGCGTCCTCTGGCTCTCCGCGAGCTGTTCCGGACGGAGCGGGATGCGCGTGCTGCCGCTGCTGCTGCTGACGCTGGAGACCAGGCTGAGCACCTCCGTGATGAACGGTGACGGTGAGTGTCCACCCCGTCTCGACGGTGATCCATCGGACTGCCCCGACAGCCGCCGCCGGCCGCCACAAGAAGCGCTCAGTCGACCGGAGAGCTCCCGGATAGAGTTTTTAGGCGGCGATCTACTGTAGCAGTAGTGGCGCTGCAGGGACTCAACTAAATAGACGATTTTCGCGAAAGTTTGGAGAAGGGTTTGTCATTTAGAAGTTTGAAGTGTGTAGAAACAAGTTAGGCTCAGGTAGATGTGAGGACATTGGAAAACTAAAATTAACAGGAATCGTCCATGTATGAAGTAAGATAGGTCCTACCTAAAATTAATCAAAATTAAGAGCATATCTTCAATATAATAATTGCCTAACAAAAACATTTATATTTGATGTCGATGGTTAAATGCCTCGATTTATGCCTCCAAATCACGGGCGTAGGAACGTCATGAAAAGTGGGTGGGCCACCCTGTCAAGGGGCCTCCTTTTCCAGGGGGCCTCCTATTTTCAGGGGCCTCCAACTTTTGCCTCGTCCTGCTGGCTGCTTTCAAGTATGACCTCCAAATCTAAATTCTGGGCTCGGGCAGATGTACCCAGGGGAGTAACCGCTTAAGCGAACAGTGCGGAAAGTCCGAGCACCATTTTTAAAACTTATTCCCCCTCCGATTTTTTTTAGAATCTATTTGCCGCAAACGGCGCATGACCCCTGAAAATCCTTACACAAATGTCTTCCTCGTTTCCCAGGTGCCCCCATTAGCTTCATAGGCGCCCTCTTTGGCATATAAGCGCCATATGTATAGTCATCAGAGACATCCCTATTTGTCCCACAGTCGCATACAATTACAATACAAGTTGTCGCATACAATGTGCGCTTATCATAGACGTCTCTCTTTTATGGACACTTGAAGGCGCCTCTCTTTGCCATGCCGGCGCTCCTGTTTCTTATGAATGCACCCCCAGGCCCCATGGCATTGATCAATTGCAGTCTGCAGATCTCTATTGCATGTGGACGCCCATATATGTAGGCTTCAGAGGCGCCCCTCTATTGCACGTAGGTGCCCTACTGTCTCAGAACCGCTCCCCTTTGGCATGCAGACGCCCATCTTTCGTACGGAGGAGCCGCTGTGGTTCTTAGAGATTAGACTAAGAGGTGCTCCCAGACGCAGATGGGGCTCTCGGAGTCGACAGTGTGGGACCTTCAGTCGCTGATGGGTGCCCGCCAGATGTGGACCCTCGGAGACGCCGGTATGGGGCCCTCAGAGATGCCGGTATGTGGCCCTTAGAGACACCGGTGTGGAACCCTCAGATACTTCAGTGTGGAGCTCTTACAATTGCTGGTGTGGAGCTATGAATGCGCTGGCTTAAATCGCTCAGAGACCGGTACATGGACATTAGAGCTCAGTGAGAGCTTGTGTGGTGCCTTCAGTGACCTTGTGGAGCCGTTAGACATCAACATGGTGCTCTCAGGAGCCGGTGAGTCCTCGGAGTCACTGGGGGCCTTCAGAGCTCCGAGATACTGGTGTGGGGCCCTCAGAGGTGTCGGTGTGGGTCCTTCAAATGTACCTATAGAGCCTTGAGATGCACAGGTGTGGTGGCCCACAGAGGCGCCGGTGTGGGGCCCCCAGAGCCACCGATATAGGGCCCTAAGAGACACTAGTATGACCCTCAAAGGCGCCGCTGTGTGGCGCTCATTAACACTGGCGTGGAGCCATCACAGGCGGGTGGAGCCGTTAGAGGCCGGAAAGGGCCCTTAGATGCCTACAAGGAGCCTTCAGAAGCCGGCGTGGCATCCTTATGGGGATAAGCGTGTCTACTTAGGAGCCCTTGAGGTGCTCTCATGAGCTCTGTGGGGCCCTACCGAGCCGTAATATGGCCACGGCCAGTTGCCGCCGCATGGCTCTTCGGACTATCATTCTCAGGGGCCTCATCTGCCTAGTTTGAATAGAAGGGCCTCTCAGACCATCAGTTTCATGGGCCTCCTCTGGCTAATATAAATGGAAGGGCCTGTTAGACCATCAATCCTAGGGGCCTCCTCTGGTTAGTATAAATAGAAGAGCCTCTCAGACCATTAATCTCAGGGGGCTCCTGTGGACAGTATAAATAAAAGGGCCTCTCAGACCATCAGTCTCGGGGGCCTCCCTAGAAAAGTGTAAATGTGGATAGCGGGCCTCCTCAGATTCATTAGGAGTGGACCTCTTTGACTATCAGTCTCTCAGGGGCCTCTTGTGGCCAGTATGAATATAAGAGCCTCTCAGACCATCGGTCTCAGGGGCCTCTTCTGACTAGTGTGGATAGAGGGCCCTCCCAGACCACCGCTTTCAGGGGCCTCCAGTGGCCAGTTATATGAACTGAAGGGCCTCACAGCCATCAGCCTCAGGGGCCTCTTCTGACTGGTGTGAATATGAGGGCCTCGCATACCATCAGTCTCAGGGGCCTCCTCTGCCTAGTGTGAATGTAAGGGCTTCCCAGGCCATCAGTCTCAGGGGACTCTTCTGGCTGGTGCCGGATTGAGGGACCTCCTAGACCGAAAGTTTTGGGGGTCTCCTCTGGCCAGTATGAATAGAAGGGCCTCTCAGTCCATCAGTCTCATGGGCCTCTTCTGCCTGGTGTGATTATAAGGGCCTCTCAGGTCATCAGTCTCAGGGGCCTCCTCTGACTACAGTGTAGATGGATAGGCCTCCCAGACCATCAATCTCAGGGGCCTCATCTGACTATTGAGGATAGAGGGGCCTCCTCTGACTAGTGAGGGTAGGGGGCCTCGGCTGACCGCCAGTGTCAGGGGCCTATTCTGACTAGTGTGGATGGAGGGGCCTCCCAGACCACTAGTCTCAGACATCTGACTAGTGTGGATAGAGGGGCCTCCCAGACTGCCAGTGTCAGGGGCCTCCCCAGACCAGTGTGGATATTGGGGCCTCCTCAGATCCACTAGGGCCTCTCAGGCCATCAGTCTCAGGGGCTTCGACTGACAAGTATGAACAGAGGGCCTCCTTGGATCCATCACGGCCCCTTGGAGTCCGTGTGTGGGGATTCGTGGAACTTATTTTTACGGAGTTTGTTTATTCTGGAAGGTGACGACGTCCTCTCAAATCGAGACGAGGGGCCTCGAGTAAAAAGTGGGTGGGCCAAAACACATGGTTGGCCCCCCCACCTCGAAAAGTGGGTGGGCACTTGCCCACCTGGCCCCCCCTGTTCCTACGCCTATGCTCCAAATAACGAAAGCATTTATCGAAGTAGGTAGGTACCATAATGCATTACTAAGCGATGTGACCTTTTGCTAATTTCCGAATCACTTAAACCTTATAAGCAGATATGTAGACGGATCACGTCAGAGAAATGCGATCTTGTCCACACCTCCCCCTCCCCCTCGCCGCCGCTCCCTCGCTGGCACGGCACGGACGGTGTCGTATGTCAGCACTAATCCAGTGGGGGAACAGACGAGTCGTTAGTCCCCAGTCCCCGCCCCCGGACCTCCCCTGTAGACGCCTGAGAACAACCGTAGCTGTCTGCCCCCGGGGAGCAGTGTCATGACTCATGGAAGGTTCTGGGAAAAGAGAAGGGTTTTTGCCCGATTATATGGCACTTGAAATGGCAATGTTGGAAAGGATTAATTGATCACCGTTTTGAAACGTTTGAGATTATCTTATTTCTTGCACATTCTTGTTCAGGTACCGTATATTGAATGTATGCATATGTCGTGCACTTCGAACTATACGGCCTTGCTTCGAACCATTAAAGGGGAGCAGCCACGTCTCGGACCAGCGGGCCAGAGCCTCGATGTCGTCCTGCAGGCCATCGTGGTTGGCAGTCATCTAGCAATACAACTTATTAGTGTCGTCTGCAAATGTCTTCACCGTGTTGCTGACCTGGGCTGACGTATCATTCACATATGACTGTAGAGAGCGTAGGACCGAGCACGGTGCCTTGGGGTAACGTGGTATTCTTTTGCAACCTTTCCAAATATAGCGTCAATAATTTGTACCCGAAGCCATCATTGAATCGCCAGTGTTAAAACTTCCGTTGCTATACGGCCATCGTAAATACCAAGTATGCATATAAACTCTTCATCAATGTACTATTTATACCCCAGGCGTCTCACTCCGGGGTTTATAACCGGCGTATATTCTTTCATTTGCTGTAATCCCTTGCAGGTCCAAAGGGCTGGGTTCCTGACCAGCAGACAGCGCCAGTTGAATCATTGTCATTTGCAACGTTGCCTTTTACTTTGATTGGCATGAACTGAGGGATTCAGAAGACAGAACTTCTTTTAAAATGCTCCTGCACTGGGATCTTGCAAATTATATGTTCTAAAAACATAATGCTCATTCATCAAATACTTCCAGTATATGACGGAAACTCTCCTCTGTGACCACACGGTCTTTACGCCGTGTCAACTGGCTCGACCTCTGGTGTGCGGAGCTGTCGGGCATATGTCATACAGTGGCACAAGCCGGCGACAGCCCGACGTCCGCACCCCTCCCCTCGCCGGGCTGTGCTGGGGTATTTCGGCTGGCATGGACCGGCGCGGCGCGGTGGCACAGAGACTTCACTACCGACTGACAGATATAGACAGGCTCCTGACATCCAACAGAGTCATGCATACTCAGAGCAGGCTTTTCGACATCCCGACACTCGACCTGCGGCTGTATTCCCGACAGGCATCTGAGATTCTGTCAGTGATATCAGCACTCGGCCACCGACATTCCACAGTCGACACTCGACCGAGCATCTGACCACTGAACCCATGCCCACCCCAGTGCCCAGTACCTACCCACTGATCCATGGACCCACCGCCCCGCGATCCCAGTCCAGCGGGCCACCCTCCACGCTGCAGCACGCGACTCGTTCAATCTTTCACGGCTCCGCGGTCTGAGTGACGTCTGTCCTCATCGATCACCGCCCAAAGGCAACAGTTATATGCACCGCATAAGCCGGCAAATGGGGTCTTTGTGGGGCATTGTCGACGGCTGCTGTCACTCGAAACATCGACGGACGGCGTATTGTAATGGCGGACGTTGATAT